CCACAACAGGCTGGACAGCAGAGAAGCCTCCCTCCCCCCCTGCCCGGCCGGAGCCCGCTCCCCTGCCCAGGCCTCCCCGACACCAGCCGGCAGCCCACCTACCAGCCAATTCTCTCCCAACATCTGCGCTTGCTGGGCTCATAGGTAAGCACAGCATCCCAGAGGTCAACATCTGGGGTCATACTGGGCTCTGACTGGGAGTCAGGAGTCAGATTCGAGGCTGACTGGAACCCTTCATCTTCCGACTGGTCGATGCTCTGAGGAACCTGCAGATCACCAAGAGGAAGAGATCACCATCAGGGCCCTCTAGGGGTCACCTCTGGTCTGGCTAGAAGCCACGGGGTGGCCACCACAGGGATCTCCCACACTACAAACACAGACAAGACAGGGCCGGTTCTCAGCAAAGGTCAGAGATCATCCTGATTTTATCCACAGAAAACACACGTGCTGACGCCCTCCCCCCCAAAAGCATTGTTCATCCTGAGGGGTTGAAGACATTAGACTAAGTCCTTTGTCTTCGCCTATTTCCATACAGAAGGCCTCTGAATGACAAATGGCTTATGAATCCCAAGTCAATGTTCATTGTCTGTGACCGCTTTGATCCTCAGAGAACCCTGGCAGCAAGCAGGGGGCCAGAGGGGCATGCAAAGGGCTGAGCAGGATGGAGCTCCCCCACCCCCACCCAGCTGGTACCCTCTACTCAGAATCCCTTAGGCCTGTGAGGCTACCAGGACCTATTCAAAAATAGACTCCAGAAGGAATTCTCCAGGGCAGTTAGGGGGTGCAGTGGATAGAGCATGGACCCTGGAGTCAGGAGGGCCTGAGTTCAAATCTGCACCTACTGTGTGACCCTGGGCAAGTCATTTACGCCAGCCCAAGTGCCACAACAAAAAGGAGTTCTCCAAAGCCGTGACCACGTGGCTGCTGCGGACACCACGCACCCTGCACGGTCACTGCGGACGGTGAAACGGCAAGGCCAAGGGGCAGTGGCCGAGGGTGGGCTGGTGCCATCAAGAGGGCAGCAGGAGATGGGCACAAAGGTCAGCCAGAGAGCACCGAGCCCATCACTGGCCCTGCTGTGCCCACCAAACGCAGCAGAGAGCTCAGTGGGCACTCACTCCTGGAGGGTGGGCACTGGCTCAGCTTTCCGTCAGCGGTCTCAGCCCTTCACTCCCTGCCTGGCACAGAGTAAGCATTTCCTAATCTTTCTCCTTTGTTTGTTCACTGACAGAAAGGAAAGGAGGGGCAGAGCCTGGGGTGCCCCCTGCCCCACCCCCTCGATGCCAGTGGCTTCCCTCTGTTAATTACTTCCCATTTCTCCTGCATACAGCTTGCTTTGGGCATGTTTGCTGCTGTCTCCCCATGTGACTTTTTGTCTCTTTGTATCCCCAACGCTTAGCACAATGCCTGGCACACAGTAAGTGCTTCATAAATGTTTAATGATAGATAAGGAAGTCCTGAGTGAGGAAACTCCCTCTACCAATGCAGGATAGCTTCTCTTCTGCCATTTAGGAGTCAGAAGTTCATTATGTGAGTACTCAGGGTCACAAAGCACACGGGCATTGAAGCCCAGGCATCAGCATAAAAATGGCCGAGTTCAGCTAAAAGCTCTCTGGGGCCCCAAACCCTGTCAGCTCCCATACCTGGATGGCGAGGCCTGATAAGTCGGCATGGTCTGGAACGGGTGGCAGGTCCAGCTTGACGTCCATGTCGTAGGTGCGGCTGTGCACCAGGGCCCCAAAAAGCGAGCTGTGGGTCTCTCTCTCGAACCTGTCCACACCAGGGTAGTTCTGGGCAAACAGCCCGAGGGAGGGCAGGCCGGTGCCCGGCACAGCCTCCATCACCTGCAGCGTCTTCTGGATCACGTCCCGGCACCACTGCTCTTCGCTGGCGACCAGGAAGCGCGCGTCAGCCTCAAACACGCTCACGTCATAGTAATCATAGCCCTGATGCTTGGCGTTCCTGCCCACATACTTGTTATTCAGGAAATAGTCTCTCTTCTGAGGGAGGAGCTGAGGCGGGCCGCTCCCAGCCAGGTGCACCAGGAGCTCCAGCACGGCCCGGACGTCGGCCAGCGGCAGGCCGAGGGCAGGGGCTGCCTCCAGGCCCTCCACCAGCTCCTCCAGCCTGTCGGCATCACGACCCAGGCCTCCGACCCGCAAGTTGAAGGACAACATGAGAATTCTGTTCTTCACAGGAAGCTGGGACCCAGCCGACGGTGGCTTGTGGCCCTCGTCCTGAAACAAGTCCAGGAAAAGGGAATCGTAGACCGCCCTTTTCAGGCTCTGCTTGGCCCTCCGCATGCTGGTAGCATGCCTGCCAGGGTGGGCCTTCCAAGGCACGTGCCCCAGGTGGGCCTCACATAGTTCATTAAACAGCTGGGTGATGCTGGCCATCTCCACAGGCAGTAACTGGGGGAAGTGCTCTTTCCGGCCTGGAACAAGTCACAGGTAAGAGAAGACCTCCATCAACTCCATGTTCTACCTAGCATCTGAAAGATACCCAGAGAGGACAATTAGTCACCATTCTAATCCCTGACCCAAGTCGCAGACCCCACAGGCACTGGACGGCCCAGGGGCAGAAATGCTGGGCCATACTCTGGGATGGGGGAGACATACTAGAAACGGGGTCCAGAGGATCTTTAGTCCTGCCAAAATTCTTTTCTAGCTGGCATCCCCTGGTCTTTTAAACATCTGTTTAGTCACCTCACCTCAGAGAAGAGAGGGCAGAGACCAGGGTGAGAAGGCTCCAGCACGGGAAACAAAGTCAACTTGCCGACTGGGGGGTGGGGAGAGAAGGGAAGGAGGTGGGGAAAGCAGGAGGACGTGGGGGAAGAGGAGGAGGAAGGACACAGAGCGGCAGAGGAGGAGTAACTGACCAGGAGCAGGGGGAGGGAGAGAGGAGAGGGCAGGAAGCGCATCCCACCAGGGAGATGAGAGAAGACCCCACGGGGCAGAGCAAGAGCCAGGGCCGAGCCCAGCTCCTTCCCTCCCCAGCCCCGCCCTCGCCCTGCGGCTCCAGGGCCTCTTCAGGAGCCGGGAAGCGGCTTTTCGCACACCTTCCGCTTTCCCGGCGCGGCCTCCTGTACGGGGGGCTGGGGGGCTACGGGCCCAGGGCCCTCGGGCTTGAAGGGGCCTCAGAGGCCATCTAATGGATGACCGATTCTTCAGAACAGGAAACTGAGGCCCGGGAGGCTGAGTGACTTGCGCAGGGGGTCGCACCGGCAGTAAGGCCTCGGACCCAGGTCCCTGACGCCAGGCCGGGGCTGCCTCCCAAAGGCAACGCTCACCCCTCGGGGAGCCTCCCACAGCGCGGTCCGACGGTCTCGGGGGCTCAAGATGACGGGGCTCCCAGAGCCGGGGTCTCATGCCGCCCGAGGGGGCGGGGTCGGCCCCTCCGAGCAGGGTTGGGGGAGGGGCCCGCCCCTAGGCCCTGGGCGAGGGGGTGGGGTCCCGGCGCACGGATCTCCGAGGACTCGACAGCCCGGCCCCCGCCCCATAATCCCCAGCTAAAAAGCGTACGCACCGCCGCAGACGGGATGGAGCGGCTCCCAGCGCGCAGGCTGATGACGCAAGACGCGGGTGACGTCAGCACGCTTTGGACGTCCGGGCGGAGCCCGCGCTCTACAGGCGGGGGGAGGAACCACATGACTCAGGAGGTTCTGTCACTGTAGAGACCTGAGCGCGATGCCGGAGCACATGACCCAAGAGGCCCTATTGGGCCTGCGCATGATGCCGAAGCACGTGATCCTGGAGTCCTCTCATTGTACTAGGCCCGCGCAAAACTGCAGACCACGGGACCCAGGCAGCTCCACCCCCTTCTTTAAACTTGGTGATCGCAGTGTCTGCTGGGAAGACTCCGGTCGAGGCCAAAGGAAAGGCCTGAGTTAAGGGACATTTTAAAGTAGCAGTGGATAGACTGTACAGCTCGGGAGTCGCCCTAGCTTCGCAGCACTCCCAAAGAAGGCAAAAAGCCCTGTGCCTGGCATTCAGAGCCGTGTTCATCCGAGCACTAACGCCCCTGGAAAGCACTGCACTCTCCCACTGCCAGTCATTTGCTCACGTGGATGCCAATGCCCAGAGCACCATCTTTAGTCACTGCCACCTCTTCTGGGAAGCCTTCCTAGACTCTGGGACAAGCAAGCTCTGCAGGGCTCCGTTTTCCAGTACTACTCCCACTACAGAGCCTAGGACTCTAAGGCCCCCAAGGGCAGGGCAGCCTGAGCCTAAATTGTGTCTCCTGCTCAAAACAAAGCTCAGCACCTAGTAGGCACTTTATAAATGGTAGCCGGATGGATGGGAGGGGTGGGCTAAGACTTTTTCGGGGAAAACAAGCCCAGGGGAGACACTGGGAGGAAAACAAAGAACACGCAGTAGGCTCGCACTTTTTGTTACAGTGTACACAGTAGGGGCTTAGTTCGTGTCCTGTTGAGTTCAATCAGGCCCCCTGAGGGTCAGAGGCAGAGGTCGTTTTTTCAGGTTTTAATTGTCCCAAGGATGAGTGGTAGTTCCTACTGAAGTGACACTAGGGGGTGCCACAACGCACAGAGTGCTGGGCTTGGAGTCAGGAAGACCCAGGCTAGCAGGGTGACCCTGGGCAAGTCACTTAGTCTCTGCCTGCCTGTTTCCTCAGCTGTAAAATGGGGATAAAAACAGCAGCCCCCTCCCAGGGTTGTTTCGAGGATCAAGCAGCCCTGGCCATCCCCCGTGCCCGGAATGCTCTTCCTCCTCCGCTCTGACCGTTGACCTCTCTGGCTTCCTGTAAGACCCAACTCAAATCCCACTGCAGGAGGCCTTCCCCAACGCCTCTGTTGATAATTTCTTATTTATCCTGTGTAGGACTTGCTCTGCACATGCTCATTTGCTAATAGCTCCCCTATTAGAGCGTAAGCTCCTTGAGGGCAGGGACTGTCTTTGCCTCTTTTTGTATCCCCAACACTTAATTGCCTAGTAGGCACTTAATCCAAAGCGCTTTGCAAACTTAAAACCCAACATACATGCTGGCTGTTGTTATTATTTTTATTAAACCCCGAGACCATTCAGAACTGAGAGATCAGAGGGTCCAGCTCCTACAGAGTACAAAGGAGGAAACGAAGGCAGCCCAAGCCCAGGGAAGTGACTTGCCCAAGGTCATGCGGGCAGGTAGTGGTGGCAGGGGCTGCGTCTGCTGCCAGGCTCGGCATCTTGGCTCCATTTGTCAGCCTTGGTGATGATTCTCAGGCAGTGGCCCTGCTGGTCCCTGGTCTCGGGGATCACCTGCCCCAAGGACCGGGCAGGTGCAGGAAGGGCCTCAGGTCACTGTAGCAAGCACAGAGCGAGTGAAGGTGAGCACAGACTGGGCCCCCCCCTCTCCCAAGGCCCTGCCACTCTAAGAATGAGGACTCCCTCCTCCCCCTACACTCACCGGACACTTGCAACATGGGCCAGTCCAGCCGCCGCTGCCGGCAGAGGCGGGTTATGGCCAAGGCTTGCTTCGGGGAAGCTGAGAGGAAGGGACCCAGGGTGCTGGGGAGGGCCCGGCCCTCCAGGGCCCAGGCCAGAGCCTCTACCAATGGGAGGTCAGGGTTCTGTGGCCAGAGAAAGATAGCTGACACATGCCCCCCATCCCCATGGCTCAGAAGCCCAGAGGGTCAAGGGAGTAAGCTCAGCTTCTCAGGGTCACCGCCCCCTGGGGACAGGGCATCTTCACCGGGAAAGTTGGGGGAATTGCAGAGACAGATTTAGACTTGATGTGAGGCATAACTGGCCGACGCTTGGAGCTGTCCCCGAGGGGGAAGGCTTGCCTGGAGAGGCAGTGAGCTCCCTGTCCCTGGAAGCCTTCAACCAAAGACTGGATGCCCACTTGTCTGGACTGTGATGGAGGGGACTCTGGTCTGGGTGCCCTCCAACTTAAGGGGTCTGATTAGGAGGCTGGGCACCCTGAGGGTGCAGCACACAAGGGTCTCTCACCCACCTGCAGCAGCAGCAGCATTTGGCCCGCCACTGGCCCCTGGAGCAGCCTGGTTAGCAGCTCCACATCCAGGTTGCGGAGGCCACAGTCTGGCCCCAGCACTATAAGCACCAGGTCTGGTCGGAAACTGTAGGCCACCGGTAGGATGAGGCTGGTGAGAGCCAAGAGGAAGGTCCCGGGTTCTGTGGCCTGAGACGAGAAGGGATGAGGAGGAAGCAGAAGGAAGCCAGGGCCCAGGTGTGGGCCTCCTCTGCAGCCCCTGGGCTGGAACAAAGCTAGGCCCCCAAGGGGGAGGATGGGGAGAGACCAGAGATCACCACCAGGCAGGAGGGGCAGAATGAGGAGCCAGCAGGCCTCACGGCTCACCTGGAGCCCCCCATCACTCATCTGACCTGCACACATGCCAGTGCCCATGGAGGGCTTGAGGAAGGCAGCTGCCGGCCGGGGCTGGGTCTGATGTCTTCTGGGACACTGCCCTGTCCATTCCTCCTTCTCTCTCTCTCTCCCTTCCTCCTGCTCACTCTCTCTCCCTTTCCTTCCTTATCTCTCTCTCTTTCCTTCCTTCTCTCTCTCCTGTCTCCTTCCTTCTCACTCTCTCCCTCTTTCTCTCTCTCTCCCTTCCTCTCTCTCTCAAATTTCTGCAACCTAGCTTCTGCCCTGACCCCGCTGCCTCCAAGATGTAATGGACAAACCCAGCAGCCTCATCCTTCTTTACCTCTTTGACAGATGGCTCAGTGGATAGAGTCAAGAAGACCTAAGTCCAAACACGGCCTTAAATGCTTACCAGCTGTAGGACCCTGGGTAAGTCAATGAAGCCCTGTCTGCCTCAGTTTTCTCAACTCAGTGCCTGGCATACAGCCGGCACTTAATCGGAGCTCATTTGCCTCACCTCCTTCCTTTGACACTGTTGATCAGCTTTTCCTCCTTGATGGCCTCTTCTCTTGAGGTTTTGGGGCACTTCTCTCTCCCGGTTCTCCTCCCCACTCTCTGACCGCTCCTCTTCTGTCCCCTTTGCTGTAGCCTCCTCTGGATCACACCCTCTAACCCGAGGTGTGCCCCAGGGGTCTACCTGGGCCTTCTGCTCTTCTCCCTCCAGACCAGTTTACTTGGGGATCTCATCAGCTCCCACGGATCTAATGACCATCCCCATGCTGACAATTCTCACATCTGCTTATCCATCCCTAACCTTTCCCTGACCTCCAGTTCCACATCTCCAGCTGCCAGCTAAACATCTTGAACTGGACGCCCCGTAGGCATCTTAAACTCACCGTGTCCAAAAGAGAACTCATTCTCTTTGCCCCTAAACCCTTTCCCCTCCTACCTTTCCTAGTGCTGTAGAGGGCACCATCACCCTCCCATCCCACAGGCTCCCACCCTTGGAGTCATCCTGGACTCCTCACCATCTCTCATCCTGCCATATCCAAGCTGTGGCCAACGCCTGAGATTTCATCTCTACTGTATCTCCCCGATACGCCCCCTTCTCTCCTCTGACCTGGCCCCCGTTGTGGTGCAGACCCTCATCACCTCACTGGACTACTGAAATGGCTACAGTGGGTCTGCCTGCCTTGTTCCCCCCCCCCCCAACTCCCCACTCTGGTCTATTATCTATTCAGCCACCAAAGTGATTTTCCTAAAGCACAGGTCTGACAGTGGCTCTCTGTCACCTCCAGAAGCAAATACAAAATGCTCTGCTTGGCCTTCAGAGCCCTTCGTCACCTGGCCCCTCTGCCCTTTCCCGTTTCTCGTATCTCACTCCACTCCCATCCTCTGTGATCCTGTGACCCCGGCCTCCTGGCTGCAGGCTGTCCCCCCTCCTTAGAATCCTCTCCACTAAATCGCCACCCTCACTAAGATTGCGCCCTCCAGAGGCAGCCTCTCTCGGTCCCCCTCCATCCCAGCGCCTCCCCTGCTGATTATTCTCACCCCGTCCTGCTGGAGCTCGTCAGCACCCAGCTGTCTGCCTGGTGCCCAGACTCCCCTCCTAAGCACATAAGCATCTTACCTCGTGCCCACCCAGGCAGATGTGGGTCCGGGACGCTGCTGCCTCTGACTGCTCCTTTCCTCCAATGTTTAGCAGGAGAATTCGGCTGGGGCGGGGGAAGGGGGAGAAGTGGCTGTTTTAATGAAATGTGTTCTTTCCCCCCCACCACCCCACGTGTCTCATGCTTTATTTACATGGTGCCTCACTCCCTACCATCCTGGGGACCCTTGCTCCTGGGACAGCGCCAGAGCAGAAACAGACCACAGAGGGCACGAGGCCCATGTCCAAGGTCACACAGTCAGTAAGCACCACAGCCCGCCCTGGACCCAGGCTCCTGCTGCCACATCAGGCAGTGTGAAAGACCTCGGGCTGGAAGGACCTGCAAAGACCATCCCGGCCAATCCCTCGTGGTACCATTCCAAGCCATCCCTACCCATTGTCCCTCAGGTCCTCAGGAATGTCCAGCTCTCCTACAGCCACGCAGAGCAGCCTGCAGGACACAGAGCAGATACCAATGTCAGGGTCACACCCAGAAATTATCAGGATATGAACATAACCTTCAAGGGGAGGGGAGAGGAAGAGCAGCCCAGGCCCTGCCCTCAGGAGCTGCCAGTCTGGGAGGGGGTCAGAGGAGGAGCAGCCCCAGGCCCTGCCCTCAGGGGGTTCCCAGTCTGGGGGGGGGGAGATGACTTTCACCCACAAGAGAGAACAGAACTAGATGGGGGTGGGGGTGGCCCAGAGCTGGCCTATGGGGCTGAAACTCTGAGGGCTTGGGGAATCAAGGAAAGGATGGCCCAAAGACGCCTGGGGCAAGCAGGGAGTATGCTCTGGAGGAGGGCAGGGTATCACAGAAGGGGGAACTCCTTATTGAGCTGGGGCAGAACCCTGGGATAAGTAAGGGGTGCCTGAAGGGGAGCAGGAGAGAGGAGGCTGGAAAGGCCCAGGTGACCTCTTAGAGGCATTGACCTCTACCAGTGCCGTGCCTTCTCCTCTCAGGCCTGCAAGTTGGGCTCACCTCTGAGCCCCACCAGTGAGGCCTTTGCGGAGGGCTACGGCCATGGCCGCTGAAACTGCCGGAGACACAGCAATCCCAGCCCTGACCTGAGGATAAAGGACAGGTATCAGACGCCTCAAGAACTTGAGGTCACCGAGCCCAACCCCTCCTTTGGGGGAGGCAGTGTGAGAATGAGGCCCAGAGACAGGAAGACCCAGAGAGAGAACCTGGGCCTCCCAGGGGCAGTGTGGCCAGGCCTGGCCAGGACTTCCAGGGGGCAGGTCCACGTGTCTACTCCTGGCAGGGAAGGAGACCAGGACAAATGAGTGACGGCCTCTAGAAAGGATGGGTCTGGATTTAAAGAAGCCCAGTTTGTAGTAAGACAGTCCTTGGGGGACAGCACAGAACCCACCGGGCATCTGAGAAGGTGACCCTCTGGTTTCCCATTTCCTACCCATCTCCTCCTCCCCAAACAGTGTACCTCCCACAAGCTGGGGGACCTTCACAGGCATGCACACTGAGAAGCCACATCCTGAGAGATTCATGCCTAACCTTGAGCTCTTTGAAGTCAATTGTGCCCATTTTACAGAGGAAGAAGCTGAGGCCCAGAGAGGGAAAGGCACCTGTCCAGGCCCACACACGCATACACAATACCTGCCCAGTCAGGATCTTGTCCAGCAGAGCCAAGAGTTTCCCCAGGGCAGCCAGGGCCTGGTCCTGCGTGGAGGCCGAGTCCAGCCTAACACAAACCCGGTGTGGGCTCAGCCAGAGGCATCACACTTCCAGATATGGAGACATACAGACAGCCAGACTCACACAAGACACACCCACACAGCTACAAATGCACCCTCCCATTTTCTAGGCCGATATGATGTCCCAGGGAGAGATACTGTTTCCTGGCCTGCTTTGACTCTAGACCTGACCCCTGGGCACTGAGGGTGCCCTAGATGCAGGGCCCACCCTCACGGGCCTGAGCCCTTGTCCCACCATTTCAGATCCTTCATCCCACCCTGGCCTGTGCGTCTGGCCCCCGGCCTTGAGCTGTGAGCCTGGCCTCACCTGGACCACATCTCTGCCTCCTCCTTGCTGACGATCACCCCCTCCTCCTGCAGGAGAGCTGGGGGCAGGTTAAGGCTGGAAGTGGAGTCAGGGACAGCCAGGCCAATGCCAGTGTGTGGGGGAGGTGGAGGGCAGCTGAGCAACTTGTCCAAGAGGGTCCCCCGCCTCTCTGTGGTCCCTACGGACTGGGCCCCAAGTAGGGGGGGCCCTCCATCCCCACACCACGTGCTGGGAGTCAGTATTGGGCCTGTGTCTGGAATGACGGATCAAAAGAGAGAAAGGTCAGGGCTGGAAACTCCCTCCATCTGCCTGCCTAGATGTCCAGGTCTTTGGAGAAAGTCTGTGAATAGCCCTCAGTGCTCCCTGGGGACAAATCTGCATCTCTGCTGAGCTCCATTTCCTACTTCTGCATTAAGCGGCTAGTACCATGGTTCCCACTTTACAGATGGGCAAACTAAGGCATAGGGAGTCCTGGCTCTGCCAGTCACTTTGCTATGTGATCCTCCCCAGCTCTGGGCATATCATCAGAACATTCCTGGGAATGAGATGGAAGCAAAAGGGGAGGAAGGAGTTAAGCCCCCTGTTCCCATTCAGCCCCTCCCCACATGATGCCACCGCCAGGGGCCCTTCAGTCTTACCTTCATGCCTGAGGCTTGCCCAGTGCGGGGCATGGGCAGCTCTCACATTCTGGATCGACTCCAGTGAACTGCAATGGGGTCACGGATCAGAGGGGAGGGGAGGCCTCCAGGGATCCCCCCACCTGGGACAGCCCCCGAGGCCCTCAGTCAGGGTTACCTCAAACAAGGGGCTGGATCCCCAGAAAGAGCTGGCACAGGGTCTCCCAGCAAAGTCTGCAGGGTCAGACACACACATTCAGCCAGACACTGCAGGTGATAGCCGCCCTGAGGGAAGAGATGGCCCTTGGACTCTGAGCCTTGCCCAGAGGCACCACCAACGAGTATGATTGGTCTGTGGTCCTAAGGGGCTTGGGCACAGGGATGGCCCCAAGAGGGTTGGCAAGAACAAGCTGGCAGGCTCAACCCCAGATGCTTTGGGATATATCAGGGAAGACAGGCCCAGGTCTGAAGGTGCCCCACTCCTTGGGCCCACAGTCCAGCCCAGCTCAGTTCAGTTCAGTTCAGCCCAGCCCAGCCCAGCCCAGCCCAGCTCAGTTCAGCCCAGCCCAGCCCAGCCCAGCCCAGCCCAGCCCAGCTCAGTTCAGTCCAGTCCAGTCCAGTCCAGCCCAGCCCAGCCCAGCCCAGCTCAGTCCTGCCCAGCCTTCCTCCCAGGGCACTTGGACAAGCTGGATGGGGTTCTCTGGTCTCAACACCCTAGGAGTCTTGGCCTCACCTCAAGAACAGCACAGAGCCGGCCCCGGGCCAATGGCAGCAGCAACAGCGTTAGGTGGGCGAAGCATTCGGGTGTGGCCTGCATCTGACCCTGAAACCCAAGCCAAGTAGGCATGAAGGAGCCCTCACACACGTGGCCCCAGCCTGGCCGTGAGTCTCTTCTTTGTCCTTCCTTTCCCTGGTCTCTGGGCCCTCTCCTTGCCCAATGATCCTGTCCATCCACTGGACTCCAGAATCTCAGAGCCAGAAGGGACCCAAGGCCATCACGCCCCCTGCAAACCTCATCCCTGACATGTGGTCCTTCCATCCCATTTCTCTCCCCAGCTCAGCACTGTTTCCTCCACCTCCTGTTCCCAATCCTGCTCACCTCAGGGTCCCCAATGCCAGAGTCAAATCCAGCCGACACCAGGACCAGTTCAGGGTCAAACTTCAGGGGCCACAGCACAGGGAGATGAGAAAGGAGAAGACAGTAGGGTCCGGGCAGGGGTATGGGGGGCATTGTGCCCCCTTCTACCCTGCTGTGCCCTATTCCCTCAGTATTCCTCCAACTTGAACAACTAATTCACACTCAGGTGTGAATGCCTGACACATTTTTTTCCCAAGGGGCTTCTCTCTGATGCCTTAACTCAGAGGACAAGAGGAAGTTATAACCAGGAATTTCGCAAAGCCCAGAAGGGAGGACCCCAAGCCAGGACCTGCCTGGGGCCCTGCCTATCAGGCCCCAAGCTCCTCTGCCTCCAACAGCCTTCTGGCCCAGTCACAGGCTACCTCCCCTCCCAACTGTGGCTCACCTCAATGGCCAGTGGGAGCAGCACATGAAGGAAGACAGACACATAGTCAGCGTTCTTCATCCCAACCTGCAGCCAGAGCAGATGGAGAGGAGTGGGCAGGTGGGGGAGGGGAAAGATGAAAGGGCAGGGGAGGGGATGAGGGCACAGGGAGGGGACGTGGGCACTGGGGAGGGGACATGGGCACTGGGGAGGGGACAAGGGCACCAGGGGAAGGGAGGGGAGCAGATGAGGGCACTGGGGAGGGGACGAAGGCACCAGGAGCAGGGACGAGGGCACCAGGGGAGGGGACGGGGGCACAGGGGAGGGGATGAGGACATGGGGGAGGGGATGAGGGCACCAGGGGAAGGGAGGGGAGTGGAAGAGGGCACTGGGGAGGGGACGAAGCCACCAGGGGCAGGGATGAGGGCACCAGGGGAGGGGACGGGGGCACAGGGGAGGGGATGAGGACATGGGGGAGGGGATGAGGGCACAGGGGAGGAGACGAGGGCACGGGGGAGGGAACAAGGGCACTGGGAGGGGATGGGGGATAGAGGAGGAGATGAATGGGCAGAGGAGGGGTCTGAGAAGCCAAGTCACTGCCAATCAGCCTCTTGGTCCTCCCTCCACCCTGGGACACAGACAGGTCAAGAAGATGGGAGACCCAGATGTGGGGAGACCAGGAGGGGTCCCAGAGAGACAGGCAGTGACGAAAGAGTCTTTCCGCTGCCTGACTTTGGGGAGCCTGAGGCTCTTTCTGAATGTTGAGGTGGGGGGAAGGGGACCCAAGCCAGAATCAGGGCCAGGCAGCCCTCGAAGGCCAGGAGCGGTATTAGGGCCTCCATCTGTTTCTCCCTCAGCCCCCACCCCAGTGGGCCTGGTCCTGATGCCCTGTCTTCCCTCTCAGCTTCACCCCAGGCCCAGCCCTTCCCTCCCTACCTTATTCCAGGGCACATTGACAGTGAAGCCACGGCCGGGACCCTGACCCACCACATCGTAATCAGATTCCCGGAGTCGAGGCCAGAAGCTCTGGTGCTCATATCGATGCCAGGAGAAATAGAGGACACTGGGAGGGGAAGAGGACCTAATTCAGGGCCTGCCCCCACTCCCACTTGAAGCCTTCCCTGGGCCACCCGCACCCCTTGTGCTGGGACCATCTTCCCTCAAACCAGGGACTCCCGTGCCCTTCCCTCAGCCTGGGGCCTTCAGGGCCCACATCTCCTGACCTGGGATCGTTTTCAAAGACACCCTGGGTCCCCTGCCCGTGGTGAATATCCCAGTCAACAATGAGGACTCTGGAGAGAGACAGAGACAGTCGCTGGGGCCACTGGGGCCCCCAGGACAGGTTCCTGCTAAAAGCCTCTTTGGCAAGGAGAGGATGGGGTGCTGGGAAGGGGAGGGACATCTCTGGTACCAGCAGCTGTGGCATGGATGTCACATGGGAGATGGGCACTGAAATGGCTGCCAGGGCCTGGTGGGGCCTCCCCTCAACATGGCTCAGCCCCCAGCCTCAGTCCCCTCAACCCCCAGCTAACAGACAGCCCAATCTGGGAAACAGAATAATCTCTGCTAACAGAGAAGCCCAGATGGCAGGAAAGTCAAAATTGCATACTGCCTCCAAACCAGGTAATGCTAACAAAGGTTGCCTGGCTAGCTATGACGTGGCACCTCTTTTGGGGCTCCGTGTGGCCAGCACATGGTTTCCTGGGCAGGGAGCCCTCCCTCAGCTTGGCCTGGCATTCGATGACCTGCTGGGGGATGGCTAGCCCACAAGATGGCTAGAGGAGAGGCCCCCAACCTTCCCTGCCTCTTCCAGCTCACGGGGGAACCTGCTGGGGAAAACGGCCCCCTCACCTCTGCAGCCCATGTCTCCTCTTGGCGTGCTCGGCAGCAATGGCCACATTGTTAAACACACAGAAGCCGTTGGCGGCGTCCCGCTGGCTATGGTGTCCAGGAGGCCTGGGAGATGAGGGGGACACGTGGCCCATCACTCGCCCCTCAGCTTCTGATGGCTGGGGGAGGGGGATGTTCAGGGTGCCAGAGGCCCTTAGGAGGCATCAAGCCCAAGCTGGGCACCAGCAGGCCTTGACGCAGCCCTGGCAGGCGCTCCCACAGCCTTGGGATTCCCGGGCAAAGGGAGAGGAAGGGAGTGGAGGGAAGGGAGTGCTGGCCTGGCCCCAGGCCTGGAGGCGGCCCAGCTGATGGGGCTGTTACCTCACCAGCGCCATCCCGTTGCCTACAGCTCCGGTCAGTACCGCGTCCACCAGCTGCAAGGTGGCTCCTACGGCCATCCGCGCACAGGGGAATGTGCTCTAGAGGGAGAAGAAGGGGGGGATGTCCCGGACAGGGGTCTGGGAGGGCATGCCTTCCTGACCCCCTTCCTCTATGTGTGTGTGTGTGTGTGTGTGCACATGTGTGTACTTATATATGTATGTGCATGTGTACGCACATGTGTGTGCACGTATCTCTCTGAGTGTATGCGTGTGAGAAAGATGGGGGGGTGGGGGGGCAGGACAGGCAGGACAGGACTCATTTCAGGTGGGGGCGGGGAACTGGCACAAACCGGGTGAAAGTAGACAGCATCATACTGCTGGGCCAGGGTACGCAGCTCCTCTGTGCTCATGGTCTGGGTCCCCTTCACCACAGCCACATACTCTGGGCTGGGGGCAGAAGACAGACCCAGAGGTCAAGGCCAGGCCCAGTCCAGCTCAGTACTGCCTGGACAAGGAGGGCAGGAAGGTATCACTTCTTCCAACCTTAAAGGCGGTATCACAGTCTCCCATGTCCTTTCCTCAAGCTGTACCCCTCCCCTTCTCTCAAACTGCAGGGAGCCAGGAAACTGGATCTCTAAGTATGACAGAACTATGTGCACAGGCCCCGAGGGAGCTCAGAGAGCCTCAGGACAGCAGTGTAGTTCGTTTGTAAGCTCAGGCTATCTTCCCTAGCTACTCAGGGACAAATCTGGGTCTGGCCGTGATTCTTGGATCTACGGCTTGAGGGGAATCCCCTTCCAAGCAGAGGGAAGGCATGACAGTAGTTCTTCTGGCCTCCATACCCAGACTTTATCCAGCTGGCTCCTCTCAAAGCCACTGTCTCCTTGGAGCCTCCCCCAACCCCAGGAAGCAGACAGGGGCCGAGCTATTAACTATTAACCTTGTCAAAGGGGTCCTTCGCTGTGCTGAGCCAGGATGTGCTCCTCTGCTCTGCTCCCCCCGTGGCTGGACCCGAGGCAGGACACTCACCTGTGCACCAGCCCCAGCTCCTCCTCGGTGGCCTCGCGGGCTGGAAGCCGCACACACCTCTGGGCCAGTCCTCGATGGCAAAGCCGAGCATACGTGGCTGTCAGGCGCTCTGGTCCCTCAATGGCACACTCTGGGCTGGAGGGGAGGGGGGCGTGCATCAGGGTCAGCAGAGACGTGTGGGTCCCAGCCCTGACTCAGCCAGTCTCCCTGAGGGAACAGTGCAAGCCTTGAACCTGAGGCCCTAGATTCAAATCCTGGCCATGCCACCGACTGGCTCTGTGTCCCTGGCCAGGTCACTGCCCTCTGGGCCTCAAGGGCTTAGATTCGAGGTTCTCTGAATAATGTTATCCAAGGGAAGGGTCCTAGAGTCATTCAATTAAGAGCTGAGAGGGATCTTGGAGACCAGCAAGTCTAGCCCTGCCATTTGGGGAAACCGAGGCAAAGTGAGGTGGGGGCAGGATCAGAATGCTTCCAGGCCACAGCTCTGTCACCCCAGCACTGCCAGACATGGATCTGGAGCCCCTAAAAACACATTCCAAAGAGCACCAGAGCAGCCTCTGGATTATCTGTCCTTAGACACTCTATCCATGGCACTGCCCCCTCCCAGCAAATGAAGGGGAGAGACAGAAAGCGTGGGCCCTTACTCGTCCCAGAGTAGCCGGACCCGGGTCATGTCCTCATCATAGATCAGGGCTGTCGCCTGGGGCCCTGAGCGCCTGTTCTCAGCCATCCCGGGGCCTGCTGGGAGGAGAGCAGAAGGCACCTTCTTCCTAGGCCCATGCCCCCTTGACCCTTGGCTCCTCTCACCATTCTCTGTCCTTCTCCATCTCCTCCGCCGGCCCGTCGTCCTTGTCACTCCCCCTAACTCTGGGCATCCCCAAGGCTCAATCCTGGGCTCTTCTTTCCCTGCTACCCCCCTCCACCTCATCAGCGCCCATGGGTACAATGATCATCTCTATCCACTGATCGACTCTGCTGGCCTCGCCTTCAAACTTCTGTCCTGTCCCGACAAGCTCCTGCCGGCTGAACCCCAGCCCACTTCTGAGCCTCTGCACCGTTCTGAGGACGTCTTCCCTCAGCTCCACCTTACAAGTGGAGTCAGTTCTCCTAGAGGAAGTCGGCTGGGATCCCCACCCTCCATCCCGGGGAGAAGTGTTTCTTGCCTCCCCAGTCTCCCCTGGCTCTCGTGTGGGGCCCGAGGTCATCCATTTTCCCACTCCCACCCCCAGACTGGGAGCTTCCCCAAGGCCGGGTCGCCCCATCTTCATCCCAACAACCTTCAGGGAGCCCGGCTGTGCCATGGAAGCTTCCCTCCACTTTACAGAGAGGGAAACTGAAGCCCCAACAAAGAGACTGGACGGGGCCCCCCAGCCCAGGCATGCACAGGAGGGATAGAGGGAGGGAGGGGATGGAAGGATGGATGGATGGATGGAGGGAGGGAGGGAGGATGGATGTGGACAGGGCCCGGGGCTGGGTTAGGAGGGGATGGGCTGGGGGGGGGGCAACAGATCTGGCGGGAAGCTCCTCCCTCCTCCCTCACACACTCTGCCAGGGGAGAAATCGCAGCCCGCGAACGACCTCGGGCAGCGGACGACCTCAGGCGCCGGGTTCTCGCGGCCTCCCGCCTTCTCCGCATCAGCGCGCAAGAAGAAGAACCGAATGAGATGGGATGCGAAGGAGGAGGCTCCGGCCTCCGAGTGGGCTCCCGAGGACCCACGCAGCCGGCCCGCCGCCACGCGGGACACCTCTTCCGGATGCTTTTCCTACGGCCGGGCCCCAGGCTCCTCCCGGCCGACCCACCTCCGGCCACACCCCCGATGCCTGGTCACGCCCCCAGGGCAGGCCCCACCCCCGGGTCCTGGACCTGGCCCCTCCCTGGCCCGCTTCCCCTGCCGCCGGGCTCCCCGCAGGGGTGGCCAGTTCCTTCGCCGAGGCATCGGGACTTATCGGAGCTAGGCCCCCACCCTGCAGCCCCTCTTCCCAGCCCGTGTCCCCCAAGCGGAGAGAAGCCTGAGCGTCGGGGCCCCCGGCCAGATCTGGACCCGCCGCTGACCCAAGAGAGGCGGAATTCTGCTCCTGACCTCTGTCCTCCCCGGGCTGGGCAAACATGCAAACCCCGCCCCTCCGCAGCACACTGAACCCTCCGAAGTCCTGCCTTCGCTTAAAAACTCAAAGATGGGGAACTCGCCATGTCCTGGGCCGCCCATCCCGCTTTGGGACCCCTGGAGTCACCCCTAGGAAGGGCTTCCGGCCACGGATCTTCTTTCTGTCCACGGCACCCTTCCCCCCCGGCGGCTCCTGGCTCTGTCCCCGGGGGCCGAGCGGAGCAAGGTGGTGCCTCTTCTCGGTAGCTTCTGATACGGGATTTTTGAAGATAAATTGGGAGGCCCAAAGCTCCCCGAGGCTGCCTGGGGCTGTGACCTGCCCGCTGATAGGGCCCGCAGGCCGGTTCATGCTCCCCTTCCCCCCTCCCAGGACCAGCTTCCTCCTCCCTAAAATGAGAGCATTTTCTGCTCTATAAATTCCTCTTGCTTAAAGAACAAATCTAAGGCCAGCCCCCCACACACACACACATACATACACCGAACATACACCACACACTCACATACTCACACATACACACGTATTCACATACACTACACACACACATACACATACACTCACACACACTCTCCAGGATCCTAGGATGGCCGCCTGGGCTGGAAACTCTGGGAAGCTGCTTGTGCTGGCTGGGGCTGGCTGAGGGGAGATCCTGAGAAACCGTCCAGCTCAAGAAACGCCAGTGACTCCCTATTGTCTCATAAAAAGAGCTGCGTTTGCCATTCAAAGCCTTTTATAACCTAGCCCCTCATATCTTTCCAGTCTTCTTTCCTATTACTCCCCTCATGTCACATACTCTTCATGACCACATTTCATCTTTCCGGGCAGGGCATTCTCTCTGGTTGCTGCTACTCATGCTGCGACTACTATCTCTTCTTCCCTCCACCTACTGAGCTCCCTGGCTTCCTTTAAGTCCCAGCTAAAATTCTGCCTTCTGGAGGCCTTCCCCCACCCCTCTTAATTCCAGTTCTTCCTTCTGTCAATTATCTCCTATTTATATGGCTTGCTTTGTACATATCGTTGACATATTGTCTCAGTCTTCAGACTGCAAGCTCCTTGAGGGCAGGGGCTGTCTTTTTACTCTCTTTGTATCCCCAGTTTAGCACAGCGCCTGACACATAGTAGGTATTTCATAAATGTTTATTGACTGATTGATGGAGTGATGTCAAGCAAAGAACGTCAAGGCTAAAGAAAAGCGCTGTCCAGAAGGCCTCTAACAATGTAAATAAAGCCCACACGGGGGCGCCCTTGAGCTTAGGTCAGTAGGAGCCAGTGGTGTTAAGGGCAGCCCACAAGCCCTTCCTGGCTTGTGGGCTGCCCTTCCTGTTGACAATGACCGAACCTACCCTATGAGGCCCTGCCAACCTATTATTAGTAATCACCATCAGACAGTTCTGCCCAATGTACTGTTTTGGTGTGACATCCTCTGTGGGAACACCTATCCCGTGCTTTAGGGCGGCTTAAAGATCCTGAAACGCCAGTGACAGGGGCCGGAGGCTAAGATTTGGTCTTTGGTGTGTCCGAAGACCCAGGCTGATGCTGACCACCACAGCCTCCCTCTGACACACTGACCGACTCCTGGGGTTGTTGGGCAGCGGTTGTTAGCCCCATTTACAGATGGGTAGAAAAGAGGCAGAGCCTGGGGACCTGAATTTGAGCCCCAGTTCTGTCAATGACTTTGCCGATGACCTTGGAATGGTCACTTGTCCATCCCAGGACAGTTCCCCTTTCAATCGAACAAGGGGGTTGGCCAAAATCAGTTTGAATAAAGCCATAATGAGGGTTGGGTGACTGGGATGCTGGACCAAGGCACCCGCATTCACAGCTAACTTTGATGGGATGCTTTATGGTTTACTAAACACTTTCCATTGCATTACACTACAAAATACTCATTGTAGCCTTGACACCACCCTGGGAGGAGGTGCCATTATTATCCTCATTGAGGCAGTCAGCAGTGAAGCGACTTGCCCAGGGCCCCACAGCCAGCAGGTGTTGGAGGCCACACTTGAGCTCAAGTCCATGGATCTTTCCACTGGGACCACCTAGGTCAACTGAGGAGCTCAACACTTGTCTTCTTTAAGGCCCTAGGAAGAACTGAGAGGCCGAGCAGTATAGTGTACCAGTAGAAATACCTGGGTTCAAATCTTGCTTCCCAGATGGGAATGGACTGCCAGAGAGGATGGGACGGTTGGGAGTTCCCTCCCCATTGGAGCTTTTCAGTTAGGTGTCCTTACTAGCTGTGCAACCCTGGACAAATCACTTAACTCCTGTCTTGGTGCAGCACATAGAGCACTGAAGACTCCTCTTCCTGAGTTCAAATCTGGCCTCAGACATTTACTAGCTATGTGAGCCTGGGCAAGTCATTTCACCCTGTTTGCCTCAGTTTCTTCATCTGTAAAAATGAGCTAGAGAAGGAAATGGCCAACCATTCCAATATCTCTGCCAAGAAAACCCCAAATGGGGTCATGAAGAGTCAGACAGAACTGAAACAGCTCCACAACAAAAAGTAAGAATGGGACCAGATAGGAAGCTACTAGATGGGTGGCACACTGGAGAGTGAACACTTCCCAGGCACTCCCGTAGCCCAGCTGTACTCTCCATGTTAGAAACATGGGAGGAAGGGTCATCTAGTCCAATGCACACCCTAAAACCAATCCCTCTCCCCAACAGGTGGTCTCCCAGCCTCTGACTGAAGCCCTCCAATGAGGGGAAGAGGCCCCTAGTCCTCCCATCCACTCTCAGCCAGCCTATTCTACTTTGGGACAGCTGGGAAGGCTTCCCTGACCTCAAACCTCAGTCAGCCTCCTTGTCACTTCTGCTCTGGGGCCAGACTGAACAAGCCTGCTCCCTGTTCTGCCTGACAGCCTTTCAAGGACTCAAAGCCAACAACATCCCTCCTGAGCCTTCTCTGCCTGGGCTCTCCCCTCCAGCCTCCAGAGGCATTGCATTCTCTCAACCACAGCTGAATTTGTCTGAAAAAGTAGTTTTGAAAAGCACTCTATTCTCAGGTTCCCTGGGAGCTCAGCTTGCTGGCTGTGGCTCTGGCCTCTGGAGGCTCTTGTGGTTCTGATGTTGCATGGTTCCAGGAGTCTAGAATTTGGCCTGACCCCTGGCTAGATGCTGACTCCAACCCTGAACCCAGACAGACCCTGTTCTATTCCACCCACTCTTAGCGCCTGTCCAAACTGGAGCCCAAAGCTCAGCCTCCTGAATGGATACTACCAGCCCTGGGGAGGGGCCACAAGCTGCAGAGTCCTCAGGGCTGGGTTCTAGATTCTGAATTCCCAGCTGCAGCTCGTAGGGGCCCAATGTGGGCCTCCCCAATCCCTTCTGAGTTACAGAAGTGACCTCCATCCCACTGTCACAGGATAGGGGCCCCTCTTCCTGGCTCTCTCCCAACAGAAGGCCTTCAGGGGCCATCCTACCTACCCTGGCCCCCTCCATAATTAGGCTGGAACAAGAAGGACACTTTGTTTTGGGGGGGGTGTAGAAGCAAGACTCTCTCTCCCCCCAAAGCCCAGGACATTACAAAACATTTGTTTATTCTTGCCAGGAGTGTTTATTTACATATGGGGGTGAGGAGGGATATTGTCCCTGAGTCACAACTGCCCACTGCAGCCCTGTGGGGTCCCCCCCCAGCTCGAGCTCCACTGACATCTGGGGGGCAGGGGGTGAATGAAGAGAAGAGGCCTGGACATCAAAGCTGGACGTCCAAGCTTCCCCTGCCATGAGACAGGGAAGCAATCACCAGCAGCAACCCAAGATCAGAGTCAGGGTCCGAGGCTTCTGTTGGGGTGTTTGGACCAAGGAGGGGCTGTAGGCTAGCAGGGTTTCTCTCCAAATCATCTGGGGGGCCTGCCTGCCCCTCCCCTTACTGATGAGTGAATCCCCTCTCCTAACAGGCCCTCAGCCTCAAAATGGGGGTGGGGGAATTCTAGCCCTGAGGGAGGGACACAGCCCACCCCAAGAGCTCCCTGCCCCCAATCCCAGAGTCACTGTTGGGGTCACTGCCAGCTGAGCCCTTCAGAGTCATCCCAGGAGGTACTCACTGTTGGCCCCCCACCCTCAACTAGGAGTCACCATAAGAGTCCCTACTGGCCTGAATCTGAGGGACCCCTCTTTCCATCTCAGCATCCAGTCACAGAGATGTCTCCTTTGAATCCAGGAGCCGAGGAGGCTTAAAGCTGAGAACTTCTTTGTATGTGACTCCTGGACAAAGAGAGATGAGAGGGAAAGAGGGAGGAAGACAGAGACAGAAAGAGTTTGAGGGAAATGGGGTGAAGTATAGGAATGATGGAGAGAGGGAGAGAGAAAGACATGAAAAAGACAGAAGGGCGTAAGAGATGATGAGGAAGGAAGGAAGGAGGGAGGGGAAGAGGGAGGAAAGTAAGGAAGGAAGGAAGGAAGGAGAGGGGAAGGAAGGAAAGAAGGAGGGAGGAAGGAAGGAAAGAGAGAGAAGGAAAGATTAAAGAAAGAAGAAAAGAGATAGAAACAGGGAGGATGTAAGGGACAGAGGAAGAGATGAATTTGAGGTGAGAGGTAAACAGAGGCAAGGGAGAGGGGTGGGCCAGAAGAGACGGGCTGAGAGGTCCCGGGGACCAGGACGGAGAGGGTAGCATCACTTCTGCCAGCCCTCCACCACCCCGTCCCCATTCCCTCCTCCATGGCTGGGCTGGAGCATGGGAGGACAGGACTCACGTTCCACTCTTCCAGGGTCCGGTCGACATCATCAAAGGAGTCATCATACAGCTGGGCCTGTGGCTCCTCCTCGGACTCATGCACAGTCTCAAAGTATGGGTGGGTCAGCGCCTCGGCGGCCGTCACTCGCTTCTCAGCGTCCAGTACCAACATCTTCTCCAGCAGATTCACAGCTGCGGGGGAGGGGGGAGCAGAAGGAAGTGTTGGGGGCCCTGGGGGAGCACACCGAACTTCTGACCAAGGGCGGAAACCCAGCTGCCCACCCCAACAGAGGCAAGGACACAGCCCCACAGATAACCAACAGAAATCCCCAAGCCCCAGATAATAATCCCCAAACATCGGCTCGCGCCAAACAGGCATCAGGTAACTCCCAAAGCCTGCACAGCCCCATATGCTGGATCCCGTCTTCTCCTCTCTCCAAGCCTTTGCCCTGGCTTTGCCCCCTGCCTGGAACACTTTCCCTCCTCCCTTCTCTCTTAGGCTCCCCTCAAGCCCAGCCCAAGCACCAACTTGGGCAGTAAGGAGGCCTTTCCACTCCTGCCACCCCCGCCCCAGATGCTGGAACCTTCCCTTCTCAGATCACCTTCCAGCTAGTCTGTATCTGACAACTATCTATTAAGAAGGCATCGGACTGAATCGGCCTCAGTGCCAGGAAGACCTCTGTCTGACCCGGGTGGAATCACTTAACTGCTCTCAGGCTATTAGTGGGAGAAAAAGTGCTGACCTGCATGGGTGGAGGGAATTTCCTTCCCTGGGAGTTCCTACGACAGTGAAACCATAGGGCAGGCCCTAAGCCTGTGCACCTGGTTACGTCCACTGCTGTGGAAGCTTCTAGTGGGCAGGAACCATATTTTGCCTCTGTGCCAGTGCCTGGTATACAGTAGGCACTGCATTAGTGCTTGTTGATTGATGTGATGAAATTGAGGGCTACCAAAAAGAGTACCAGCTGTAAGGCAGCTCTGGCTGCCACCAGCCTCCCTTACCCAAGGGGGTGGCGTTCTCCAGGACAGAAGCAAAGTCCTTCTTCTCCAGCTCGGGGAGACTTTCCATGTAGCTCTTTGCCTGCATGAAGCAAACCTTAGCCGGGCCTGGCTGCCAGAGGGCCCCCCTCCCCTGGCCACCCCCTGGCGCCCCAAGGGCACTCACATCCTGACTCTGAAGCCTCTGTACAAACTCTGGGGGAGGCGTTCCTGTCACCTTCATGATCTCCATCAGCTGGTCCAGGTCTGCGCAGGCAGGGCCGTGTCAAGGAGGGCAGCTCTCAGTCAGGCCCGCCCTCGCCCCACATCCCACTCAAGCGGAAGAGGAACCCCCGCCGAGCTGAGGAGCCTCGAGCATTTGAGGTCCAGTAGCAAGGGTCACTCAGGTTCATCCTCTTCTGCTTTATCTGATCCTGGGCACTAGTCACTGCTTTGGGGGGAATCTACTTTTTAAATGCTCCTCACTTTTTAAGGGGCTTCATCAGTGTAGTGTTAGAAAAGCACCCAGTGTGGAAAGCCCCTCCACCAGGCAGACTACTAGCTAAGCTGCACCTTTTCCCTTAGGGAATTCAGTGAGAAGTAACATGACTCACTCAGGCTCACACAGCAGGATTTGAACCTGGGTCTTCCTGACTATAAGTTCACTACAGCGTACTGGTTTTCAATATGCACTCATTTAGGGTTATACTTTTTTTTAAAAAAAACCTGTTTCGGGACAATCTATGATGGGGTGGGTTAGGGTTGTTTTTCTGTATTTTCACCTGGGAGGTTAACCACTGGTTCTGGGTGCTGATTTGGGGAGCTTTTCAGTTGTCATGGAGAAAGCCAGAACCTAACTGTTCCCCCTCCCCTTCCAACCTCCCCCCTCCTGTCCCCTGCTTGCAGCCCCCAGAGGATACGGTCGCTGCCTTTGAAAAGAATCTTCCCAGTGATCATTTCTGCCATGATGCAGCCCACAGACCAGATATCCACTGAAAGAGGGCCCCGCCATGTCAGGCTGGCAGGGGAGGGAGAGCGGCACCCTACTGGGCTGCCGCTGCCCAGGGACTCAGTTCCTCTAGGAAGTCTGTCCTGACTCCAGCCCCTCCCACCTTAGGCCAGCAACCCTTCCCTCTCCCAGGGTTCACCTCCCTCCCCACTCAATCCACAATCCATCTTCCAGGCTCCGCTTAAAAGTCACTTCCTCCAGGAAGTTTGCCCTGATTTAGGCCCTGATCATCACCTGCTTAGGGGCACCCCAGGGCTGTCTGAGGTCACAGGGTCAGAGGCCCTCTCACTGCTGTCAGGCCTGGGGGGGCCTGGGTGGTTCTCGTTACCTGTCTGAGTGTAATGCATCCAGTTAAGGATGACCTCGGGTGCCCGGTACCATCTGGTCACCACATAGCCCGTCATCTCACTGTCTGTCTGTCTGGCCAGGCCAAAGTCCAGAATCTGCAGGACAGAGACCCCGGGAAGAGGGGGCGGGGGACGCCACTGCCCAGATGTTCCCACAGCTGCATAGCCACCTTGGGTCAGGACTGGCGGTCATCTCCTGTGTGTGCAGCCTCTGCCAGGCTGGTCTAGCCAGGTGACCTTTCCCCATTTGGGGAAGATGAGATGGGGGAGCAGAGTGGACAAAGACCAGTCTTGGTAGGGGGTCTCACCCTGTCCCCTTGTTCTCAGACAGCCTCACTCCCAAGCCCTCAGCCCAGCCATGTCCCTCACCTTCAGCTCACAATCCTCATTCACGGCCAGGTTACCAGGTTTGAGATCCTGGGGAAGGAAAACCCAGCTGCCATCCCATCATCCCCTGTGCCAAGGCCTGTGATGCCCCTCCTACTTAAAGGACACCCCTGGCGTTCAAGGCCTTTCCTGCCCAATCCCACCCTTATCTTCCCAATCCTAAGCCTTCCTTATCCCTCAAAGCCTAGCTCAAACCCATGTCCCCCGAGGTACCCTCCCCGATCTCCTCAGCCCATGCCAAAGGTGGCAGTCATGGTGTGGGCAGAGCATCATGGAGGAAAGAGAAGGGGAGATTGCCCAGGGCTGGCAGGTGGGAGACCAGGGTCCTTGCCCCAGCTGTGTCCATGACTCACTAAACCGCCCCATCCCCCAGGCTGGGCCACAAGTAAAGAGGGTGACTCACCCTGTGGACGATGCCAGCGGCATGGATGTACTACGGGAGAGAGAGGCACGCGGTCAGTGATGTCTGCAGGCTGAGACAGCCCTCGGAGGAGGGAGGGGAGAGCCCCAAGCCTGCCCCAGATCCCTTCCCTCCTTTATGGGCACAGAGGCCCCAGCCAGCTCCCCCTCCGGTGACCTTCTGCCCAGCTCCTTCCGACTCTCCCCCAGGATCAGCCTGGTGTCATGGCGGGCGTAGGGGGCTTGGCGGAGCAGTGGGCCCAGGGGCATCTGCAGGATGGGCGTGAGGGTTTCATCACATCACTGGGGACGGACCTTGAGGCCTCGAAGGATCTGGTAGACCAAGAATTGGATCCGGTCGTCACTAAGCTTCTCGTGTTTCATCAGCTTGCTGAGGTCTGTGCCCATGAACGGCATAACCAGGTAACTGCCGGAGGAGAGGAGCCCGGTCACTGCCCCTGAGCCACTGGCCGTGCCAAGGAAGGCAGGGCCTCAGCCTTAGGCATCAGTGGATGACACCCCCTCCCCAACGATTCAAAACTACCGGGCACTCTGAGGGCACTAGGAAGGGACAGGGGGCATCGGCTGCTCCACTGGACAGGCCAGCGGGGAGGCAGGACGGGCAGGGGCTGCTCTTCCCTGAGCTACTTTTATTACCTCAGTCACTCTAGGAAATTCCTCCTCCCAGAGGCCCAGTGGAGATAGAAGGGGGGCCGCCAGACCCTGCCCTGAAGGAGGAAAGAGATCCAGACTGGTGGGCCTCGAATGCCAGACTGAGCAGTCTATATTTTATCCTGGAAATGCTAGGGAGAAATGGAAGGTTTCTGAAGACTGGAGTAACCTGGTGGGTTCTGGGCTTCATGAAGGCTGCTTTGTAGCTGTGATGTAGGCAGGTTAAACAGAACCTCTTTAGCCCCGGGAGAAGGGAGACAGACAGTTCAGCTCTCTGGGGGAACATTTTGGGGGTCAGTCTCTGGCTCTAAAGGGATTCTACCAGTGCCTGAGCTGCAGAGGACTACAGTGTCCAGACATGGCTGGGTCAGCTGGCCCTAGATGCGAGCGTCCGGCCTCCTTGTCTGGCTGCGTACAAAGCCTCCTGGCCCCAGGTTCTGAAGGCTACCCATTCATCTGGCTGTTGCTCTCTGGAGAGAGGCATCCAGCTGGGAGCAAGGATATCTCCAGCCCCATTCTCCCAGGCCAGACAAGGATGAGGCCCCAGCATGTGGATGGGCCAGGACCCAAAGGCCACTTGTCTCTGTATGAGCGTCTGCCTCTGAAATTCGTATCCACCTCAATAATCCTGGCAGTTAGCTTAAGGCGGCTGGGAAAACCTCTTGAAACCTGAACAGGGCTACTATAGGGAAGACAGATCAGAGACAGGGGAGTCTTGAGATGTTTGTAAAGTTCCTGGCACGTCACAGGTGCCACAGAAAAGCTAGGAGCTCTTAGTATTATCAAGAATCATATCATAGTCGAAGTGGAGGGACCAGTAGGTAGCTGCTCCCATAGTCCGGGAGGGAGCCAACGAGGGGCTGAGTGGAGAGAAGTGGAGGATGTGAGAGAGGTTGGCACCCCCGCCCACACCCCCCCAAATTTCCAGCCAAACCGGGCCTCCTTTTGGGCACCTGCTCTGCCCTGACTCTCACACCTCTCTTTTCCCAAAAGCCAGAAACGCATCTCTGCCTATGGAAACCCTTTCCTCCCTCCAAGACTTCTGGCCCATCCCCCCTGATCCCCCCAGAGTTGAAAGTTTTCCTCCCCTTCAAATTTTCCTGGAGCAAAATGTCTCCTATTTCCTTTGCTCCACCCCGCCCTTGTCTGATACTTGGCGGGTTCATGCTGCTTTCCCCATCAGGCCACAAGCGCCTCAGGGGCCAGGGTGGTGCCCTTCTTCACCTGGGTATCCCCAGCCCCCTGTCTATATGTAGTAGGTGTTTAATAAATGCAGAATTCAGTGGAAGCAACATGAGAGCTGTCATAGATGTAGGGGAAAGGAGAGAAAGGAAAGAGGGAGAGATGATTTTGAGGTCTCAGGCCTGGGGCCTGGGAGGATGGCGGGAGGGTCCTCAACAGAGAGAAAGGTCAGAAGAAGCACGAGGATTTGGGCAGGGGGTGGGGGAGGGGAGGCGATGACCTTCACTTGGGCAGTGAGCTGGTGGAGCTGGGCCCAAGGCTCTTGGAGTCCCTTGTAGGGAGGAGGCTGACGGGCTAGTGCACTGCCAAGAGAAGCTCAAAGATGGCGCCTGGAGATGTGGGTTCTAGTCCTGGCTCCATGGCTCCCTCTCCACGAGACCTTGGAAAAGTCCCTTCCCCTCTGAGCTTTCTTCATCTGTAAAACTGTTGGGGGGGAGGATGATGCCATAGGTACCTTCTACCTCCTAAAGAAGAGAATGGGGGTACAAAGGGAGTCATGAAGATGAGCCTTGAAGGACACCCCCACAATAGAGGAGGGGCCAGCAGGGGACATGGATGGCGAGGTCTGCCAGGGGCCTCAGGGGAGTGAGTCAGGGAGAGCTGCAGAGAGGTCAAGGAGGATGAGGCCTGAGAAGGGGCCCCTGAGGGGTTGCAGTTCAGAGGTCACTGGGGTTCCAGGGCTAGGGATGAAAAGAGATGAGGGTCAGAGGGATGGGTGGTGCTGAGGAAGCGGAGGCTGCCAAGCCTATCGAGAGGCCAGGAGACAGGACTATCACCTAGCTCTCTTCCCCTGCCTTGCCTTCCCCACCCCCCCCAGCCCAGCCTAGCCCAGGCTTGGCAGGCAAAGGTTACCACAGCTCCAGTTACAACCCTCATTTTTCATCTCATGTCCAAGGCTGTATTTCACACTCCCTACTGGTCATTAACCGCCCGGGCTCAGGGGTCACCCCCTTGGGCCACAAGGCCCAGGGCAGTGCCCAGATAGCAGAGAGGTGACCTCACTGAGGGGCGGAGCAGGGGGCCGCTCCTGGTAGGACATCTCTCCTAGCTAGCTGAAAGCTCTCTCCAGTAACTCCCCCCAGGGCTCCTGGGTCTGCCCTCTGGGGTGAAGCAAAATCAATCCAGTCCCTCGGACTCAGGACAAAAGCCAGGAATCTCCCCGCCAACAGCCTCCCCAGGACTGCCTTAATCTAAACGGAGCAGCTTCTGGGTCTCTAGAGAGAAAGAGCCCACTCCACTTTGGGACCTCTCTGCAGCTTCCCCACCCTGTGCCTAGGTTTGTGCTCCAGGGCCAAAAAGAACGAGGCTGGCCCTGCTTCCAGGGCCCAGGATGGCTGCTTGCTCCGTGCCCATGAAGGCCTGCAGCAGGTACTTGACAGTGATAGTCCAGGCCTTTCGATTTTCAGGTGAAAGGAGGTCTCTGTTCCCTTCCCTCCCACACTCTCTCTGCCAAACACAGCCTCCCACATCTCTCCCTTGCTCCAAACACCTTCTATGGCTCCCCACTGCCTTCAGATGTCCCTACATTGGTGCGGTCAGCTCCTGGCCTCATCTGTAGATGTGTTCCTAGGTCCCGTCCAGCTCGTACATTCTGGACACCCTGACAAATCCAAGGCTCTGGGGCTGTGTGGGGCCCCAGCTTCCCCATCTGTCTCAGGCTGTGGGGCAGCCAGAGATAAGGCTGACATGTGCCTACAATCCTCAGAGGTTCACGAAGCCTGTTGAGATGGATGGATGTGGGGCACCAAGGGACAGACCGCACTTCCTGCCCTGGCTGATCACAGTCCCCGGCCCAGGGCCCAAGAGAAATTTCTGAGAAATGGGCCAGCTTTTAAACTACATGTGTGGTGGTGGTGGTGGTGGGAGGGGGAGAATCTGTGTCTACCCAAAGGCCCTGCTTTTCTTGCCGTCTCAGCCTGTGTTCCAGGGGCTGCTCCCCTTCCCTGCCCTCAGTCAGGGCTCCCTTCCTCAATGGCCCCAGGAAAAGGAGGAGAAACAGCTTCCTGCCTCCACCTGGCCCACAGAGGCTTGTGTCATCCCGGGACCAGTCAGGGATGAGTTTGGGGCCTGGGGAGGGATCGGACAGCTGGGCTGGGGGCCCTTGGGGACCCTATTGATGCCCTCCAACTAAGGTCTGCCACTAGTACAGGCCTCTGGGCACACCATGGTGGGCGTGGCCCAGTCCTCTCCCTGTCACTACCCCTGGTCTGGCTGGAAAGTTGGCCTGACCCAGAGGGCAAGAGAGGCTGAGCTCCCTCTACCTACCCCAGCCTGGGCTGGGAGCTCCATAAGGGCAGGGCTTAGGACTGCCCCTCCTCTGGTGTCCCAGACTGGAAGCTCCCTGAGGGCAGGAGCCAGGCCCAAGGGGCCCTGAGGCCTAGCACAGAGGCTGACCCACCCCCACCCCCAGTCCACAGCCACTCACAAGTCCGTGAAGTCATCCAGTGTGTCATCGGGGGTGAAGACATCCAGCAAGCCAATCACCTGGGGAAACAGAGCTGCCTGAGAAAGGACAGGGAAGCGTCCTTTCTACAGCTTCCAAGGCGTTTCACAAGCTTTCTCATCTGACCTTCACACCGTCCTGGGAGGAAGGGGCCACTGTTATCCCCATTCTACTGAGGCAGCTAAGTGTCTAAAGCACATTCTGGACTTCGGCCTCCTGAGGCCAGTGCTTTATCTATGGGGAGAAGGTGGGGAAGGTGGGGAAGGAGCCCACCTCCTCACAGGCAAGGGTTCCTTTTCCATTATTTACTTGCCAGAGAGACCTACGGCTTCTCATCTGCCCGGAGCAGGAGGGCACAGTGAGTGCCCAGGCTGGACCGTGCCCAACAGAGCATGTTTGAGAGCTCTTTCGTACTTCTGAATCATGCATGCCCCCTTGGGTACCAACAGCACAGCTAACAAGTCACCCACACAGGGATCTTGCATCAGAGAACTCAGAGCTAGGAGAGGCCTGGGAGCAGAGACAGATGCCCGTCCAGTTTCTGTGGCTACTGCCTTGCCACCCTTGTCCCAACTCGGACCTCCAGATTATCTGGCTCTGGCCTGGATGATGTCCTGGTCACGGAAAAACCACGCCCCAACCCCAGGGAGGGCCGATGTGACATCCTGCCTACCCCCACCCACTCTATCTATCTTCCAGGGGCTCCTGAGTGGCCTGAGGGATTGTGTATGTGTGGGTAGGGAGGGGGCATGGAAATAGAGGGGCCTGGGGAGATATGCTGAGAAGGGGAAGATGAGGGAGGGTCAGTAACATCTCTCCGCCCTCCCCACCCCAGCCCTTGGCAGAGGAAACGGCCGAACATGCCTCCCCAAGCATCCGCTCAGCCCCTAATCTAGTCACCCGCCGCAGCTGTCTCCTTGGCCCAAGCAGGCCACCCCCCAATTGTCTTCAGAGCCTCCCCTAGCTGGGCTCATGCATGTCCCAAGTCTCCCCCCTCCCAGGCTATTTTCAGCTGGTGACAGACCAGGACAGGATCTTCTGTGAGCTCATTCCCTCACTGCACCCCCAGCCCACTGACCAGGCCTCAGAATGAGAGCCTTCCTAAGGGCCGCATGGGAAACCGGAGATAACCCAAAAGCTAATTCCCCTGGGCCTGGAGCCACCCACTGGACCCCTTGGTCATAGCCCCTTGGAGCTGGGACCTGAGGTGGGGTTCTGTGTGTTCCAAACCCTCCCCTTTATCCCACTGCCCTCTATTAGGATCCTATCGGCCTCTCCTGTCTTCTGCCCTGCTCAGACCACATCTTCCCAGGATCCCTGAATCTTTGAGCTGGAAGGGCCCAGCCCTCAGAGACCATGAAGCCCAAGCCCAACCTGGACAAGAACCCCTATTACCTACATACACCTCTAACCATCAGGCCTCCTGTGATCAGCTCCCGTGATGGGGAACTCACTACCCATTTCACAACAGGCCAGCTCTTTGTTGGGATATCTGCCCTAAATTGGCCTGTGTCCCCACTTCCCCTCTGGGCTGAGCCCCCTTTCCCATGACTACCTTCACTTTCCAGCCCCACCCCACTCCCCATCCCACCTGTCCTCTGTCATCCTCTAGCTTGAACAGTCATTAATGGACATCAGACTATGCACATATTTTGGCTAATGCCTACTAGTCCTGGGAGCTCTAGAGAGGTCAGTAAGAGCCAGCTACACCAATGTGGTGGAGACCCTGGCCCACCAAGGTGGGGTGATCAGCTCTGGTGGGGGAAGCCTGAGTCTGTTCTGGGCATTGTGAGCCAGAGGGGAACCACGGGAGGGCAGGCTGGACATGAATGGAGCCCAAGGCTCAGGAGGATCAGCATAGGGGGCTGGAGAAGCCTCAGGGGCCATGAGAGTCTCCAAGCAACTGCAGGGCTGCCCAAAGGGGAACAGACTGTCTGGAGGGAGTGAGCTCTCCATCCCTGGAGGTCTTCAAGCAGAGACTAGGTGATTCCTTGTCAAGGACAAAAGGATTCCTTCTTAGGTACAGGCTGCATGGCTGGCCTTCACAGTGCACAGAGCGCTGGGCCTGGAGTCAGGACAATTTGTCTTCCTGGGTTCAAATCTGGCCTCAGACATTTCCTAGCTGTGTGACCCTGGGTAAGTCACTTCCCCTGTTTACCTCAGTTTCTTCATCTGTAAAATGAGCTGGAGAAGGAGATGGCAAACCGCCCAGTATCTTTGCCAAGAAAACCCCAAATGGGGCCACAGAGAATTGGACACAACCAAAATGACTGAACCACAACAGAATCCTTCATGTTCTAGGGTTCCAGGTACCAGAGCTGCCCAGGCCCCAGCCGTGGGGCCAACATGGCCTTTTCCTCCCTGTGCTCAGGGCTGGCGTTCAATTGTTCACTGCTCCGCCACCCCCTTCCCAGGCTCTTTGAACAGGGAGGGCATTGAGCACCAGGGCAGATGGTCAGCCGGCAGAGAGAGGCTTCCAGAGCTCCAGACACTCCAGGCAGGGGCTCAAGGAACGGAGGCCTTGTCAAACCTCAGGGAAGTGGGGACTCTCACCTCCTGGGGAGCCTCTCACTCCCCCAGGGCCCTGCCCCTCCTCGCACCAGCACCATGGCCAGGTCCCCAGCCCAGGGGGCCCTGAGGGCATGGCAGGACCTTCCCTCAGGGCTCAGTTTGCTTCTGCTCCATTCCCAGATTGATTCCATTGCACCAAGTCCCAGTCTGGTCTGAGGGAGCAGCATCCCTGACACATTAGGCCACATCATTACTTGGGCACACGCTGCTCTACCCCGGCTCACAAACTGGACCAAGCCAATGCCAAGCCTGTGGATGCGACAAGGCAGTGTCTGCCTGAGTCCTGAGGCTGGTCCTGGGGGTAGGGGCCGTCTGTCAGAGTAAACCCCCAACCCCCATCCCCAGTCCTGGGAAAGAGGCCCAGCCATAGGCAAGCCTCCCAGTGAACACAGTCCAGTGTCTGCAGGATGAGACCATAGACTCACAGCTCTAGAATCGCTAGAAGTCATCTTACAACTTCATTTTACAGATGGGGAAACTGAGGCCCAGGGTGTGGAAGGCATTGCCCAAGGTTGCATATGGCAGTAAACAGCAGAGCCTGCTGGGTTCCTCCAGCGGAGCTCCCCAAAGGGTCAGATGTGTCTGTGGACAAGCCGGGTCTAGGGGGCAAAAGTCCTCCAGCAAAGTCAGGGGCCAAGGGCTGAGCAGACTGGGACAGCCAGGAGCTTGGCTTAAAGAAAAAGGCCAAGGCATGCAGATTCATAGACATAAAGGGACCCCCCCCCCCCAAGGATCTGGAGCTTCTGGAGTCTTCCTTAAAGGAAGATTGGGCTTCTGAGAGGCAGAGGGGAGGAAGGAAGCACTCCAGACACAGGGAACAGGCTGGACAAAGGTCTAGAGGTGAGAGATGGAACAGTGTGTAAGCCAGATTTTTCTGGGCTATAGAGTTTGGGAAATAGAGTGCTGCATGACAAGCCCAAGCCTCTGGTCTGCCTGTGTCCTGCCCGTTTCTGTTTCCCTCTTCCTGTCCCAGTCTTTTTATCCCCATCTCTCTCAGGGACATATAGCTTAGGGCCCCCAGGCTAACTTATTTCCCTGGTACACTCAGTCTCCTGAGATTGCTGATGGATGCAGCAGCTGGGCTAAGACAGGCTGAACCCGGAGGAGGGGGCTGCCAGGGCTCTCTGGCCCCAGCACCCTCCTCACAACAGGGCAGTTCCCAACAGGACCCAGTTCCATAGTTCTATGCCCCCCTGACTCTGCCATGGGTCCAAAGTCACTGCCTACACAAAGCTTCAACCAGCACTGAGAACTCTAGCCCTTGCTAGCTGTGGGACACTTCTCTGAGCCTCAACTTGCTCATCTGAGAAATGGGGCTAAGAACATTTGAATTACTTCCCCACAGTGGAGGTGGCTGTGAGGAAAGTCTGTATTTATCTGTGAACACGTAGATTTCCTGATGTCCCTGGACGTCAGGGGCTGTCTGTTTCTCCAGGGTCTACCATGCCTGGCACAAAGTAGGTACCTAGTAAATGCTTGCAGATTGATTTGTAAGCCTCCACAGCCACGGAGGTGACTGGTCTATTATACCATTATCAATTTCATTCTGTAAAATGTCAGAATTCAAGAGCTGCGGGTGATGGGCCCCTCAGAGGGCATCTAGTCCAATTTCCTTCTAAGTGGAAGAATTCCTTTCACCATATCCTCAAGGAGTCAGCTAGCCTCTGACTGAACACGTATAGAGATGGAGAACTCACTGCCAGGTGAGGCAGCCCCATCTGCTCATTTCAAACAGCTTGAAATGTGAGAAGTTCAAATTGCTCCGCTGACTTCCTGTGCCCTGTGCGGTCAAGCGGAAGGACTCGAAGCCTTTTTCTGCCTAGCAGCCTGACACATGGATACCTGATGACAGCCATCATGACCCTCCCCCCCCAAGTCTTCTCTTCTTAGGGCAGCAGGTGGATACAGCGCTGGGTCTGGACTTAGGAAGACCCGAGTTCAAATCTAGCCTCAGGAGCTAGTTCTGTGACCCTGGGCAAGTCACTTAACCTCTGTTTGTCTCAGCTTCCTCAACTGTAAAATGGGTATAATAACAATACCTACCTTGAAAGGTGGTTGTAAGGCTCAAATGAGAAAGTGTGTATAAAGTGCTTAACATAGTGCCTGGTACGTAATAGTTGCCATATAAATGTTCATTCCTCTCCCACCCCTTCTCGAGGTTAAATGCTCCCCATTTCTTCAGCAAAAGATGATCACCTACTACCTTGCCATCTCAAGTCACCCAGTCTTGTTAATGTCCCTCCTGGAACGCATTGATCAGGACCAGACATAATACTCCAGATGATGAAATAGGTCCAGAGAGGGGAGGTCATTTGGCTGGGGTCACACAGTGTTAGTCCATGGTGGGGCATCCCTCCAACCAGCTACAGCCAGATCTCCCCTGCAGAGGATGATGAGGGGACCTGGTGAGGCAGCCCTGTCTGGGTACGTGGACCAACCCAGGGCCAACCTTAGCAGCCTCCTGCCTCCAGAAAAGTGGACACCGAGGAATGGAGGGGGAGAGGGGAGACACGGAAGGAAGATCAGACTTCATATGTGTCCTCTCCCCTGGCACAGGGATTGCCCTCCCCTCCTCCCAGATCAGACGTTGGAATGGTAGGCATGGAATGTCACTACTTCCTGTGGAGTCTTCCCTCCTGGTGGTTTTTCCACTCCATCCCTTCCTCACCACCACCCCAAGTCTGGGCCCCCATCACTCATGGCTTCCCTGGACCAATGGAGCAGCATCCTTGCGGGTCCCCAGTCCATCCTTCAAACTGCTGCCACAATACTCTGAGTGGGCCCCCGCCACGAGCGCCCTGCTTCCCTGCCCAACAGCCTCCCTGGAGATGAGTCGTGCTCAGCTAACCCTAACCTGCAGCCTGCCTTTCCAAGGAAACATTCTCTGGTTGTGTGGGGGGTTCTGGGCTTGAACCAGGAAGATGTTGGTTCCAATGGGACTTCTTAGAGCCTGTTTCCCCATCTGAACAATGGAGATGACACCCTGATTCCTACCTCACCGAGTGGCTGTAAGATGATAATAATTATAACAACAATAACAGCTCACATTCACATCGAACTCTGAGGTTTGCAAAGCACCTTATCTCATCTGGGCAGCACAACTCGGTGAGGTAGGTTCTATTATTCTCTCCGGCTAGGTGGTGCAGTGGATAGAGCCTGGAATCAGAAGGACATGAGTTCAAATTTCGCTGCAGATACTGCAGATAGCTGGGTGACTCAGGGCAGATCATTTAACCTCTGCCTCAGTTTCCTCAACTGTAAAATGGGGATAATAGCAGCATTTACCTCCCAGGGCTGTTACGAGGATCAAATGAGATGATATTTGTGAAGCGCTTAGCACAGTGCGGGGCACATAGTAGGTGATTAATAAATACTTGCTCCCTTTGCTGAGGTAGGGTCCCTGAGCCTGAGGTAGGTTAAGTGACTTGCTCAATACGTGTGTAAAGTACTTTATAAATGTTGTAGCATAGCAGAAACACAGTTATGTTTGTGCCTCGCAGACATATTCCATGTTCTCCTTCCTCTAATCACAACGTTCCCCCTGCCTTGAACGTCATTCTTCCTTCTTCGCCTATAGAGTTCCAACTCATGCTTTAAAGCCAAACTCAGATTCCACTTCCTCCAGGAAGCCTTCCCTGCTGTCCTCAGACCAGTCAGGAGCTATCCCATCAGGCCACATAGACCTCTCAGAAGTCTGCCTTTATCACACATAATAATGTCATAACACTATCTATTAAACTGTGAGCTACCTGAGGACAGATTCAGGGTTTTTTCTAAAATTTCTCTCCTCTTACACAGCAAGGGTGTGCTGCAGATTCCAAACAAATGTTTCATATTTTTGAAGGGGCCAACTTGGGCATCTGCCCTTAGGGAGCTCAGCTGGGGGAAGGGGCAGAGGAGGGACATCCCAGGGTCCTGGGCATCTGCCCTTAGGAGGCTCCCAGTCTAGTAGAGGAAGAAGACACTGGAATATCACAATATTCTCGGATGAACTCATTAGCTAAGTGGTGGGGTGGGGATCTAGTTAACTACAGTTAGTCCCAGGGCACTGTGGACCATGAGGCATTCAGGCTCTGCAAGTCTCAGGGATGAGTTTGCCCAGTGGCCCCTTAGCATGGGGGCCATCATTAGCGGGCAGTGCTGGGACCCATAATCCTGAAGCACGGTAGGGGCCAGACTTAAAGGCTGTGAAGGCCAGACTTAAAGGGCTGGGAGTGTGTGTGAGGCAGGGGAAGGGGGCATTTGAGGCACAGACTGTAGGCCTTTGCTCTCCCCTCCACCGACCATTACTTGTACCCCAGAGGACACCTGCCAGGAGCTCCCATTCTGCTGGTTCTGTTCAGATCCTCAAAGACCACTGGAGGCTAAATTTCAAGGAAAGGCCACCCCTCTGCCTCCCCAGATAATCTATTCTCTCAAATAAAAAAGACAAAAGGATCTGGTCAGGGACTTCTCCCAGGCCCCGAGTCCTATGCTGCCCCCAAAATGGGAGGCAGTGCCTGCCTCATCTTTCCTGTGGGCCTGCATGTTGGGGGGCAGGCCAGACCAGGGGCTGTTGGCAGCAGCCAGCAAGCAGCTAGTAGAGCATGCTGAGGGCCCCCTCCCCCGGGAAGCTGGCGAGCAGTCTGCCGGGCAGGCGAGCGGGTAGTTGCAGGACTCACTCACGTTCTCGTGCCGCATGTGTTTGAGTAGACGCAGCTCCCGGTATGCGCGCTTCGCAAACAGCTCCGACTGGAAGGGACGGTACAGCTTCTTGATAGCCACCTTGGTGCCCGTCCTGCTGTCAATAGCCGAGCTAGAGGGCAGACACCCGAGCACTCAACCAGCCCTGCCGGTGAGGCGGGGAGGGGAAAAGCCCCGCCAAGACAAACCCAGACTAACGTCCCGGGTTCTCCCTCCCTCCCCCCAGGAAGTCTAGGGAGCCTGGAGCTGGGAACAGGGGGTCCCCTCCTTTCCTTCCACACACTTGCATTCTGCCGCTCCTCCCGGGGGGGGGGGCACCTCCCGCGGCCGTCTTCTGGGAACGGCGAGACATTCAAGGTCTCCAGGGCCCAGGCAGGGCTGAGCTCACCGGCCCCTCAGCCTCTGGGCTCATCTTCAGGGGCCAGGGCTGGGTCCCACGAAGGTGAGGCCCCATCTGAGCACCCCCTCCCCAGTCACTCAGCCCCGTCCATGTTCTCCCCGCCGACTCACCAAACGGCCCCGTAAGCCCCCGAGCCCACGGGCTGCAGGTCCCGGTAGAGTTCCCGCACCTCCCACTCAGTCTTAGTGACCTCTTGCCGGTAAAAGCCCTTCCGGGGGGGCGGAGGGGAGCTCATGGCGGCCGGAGGGGGGTGCCGCGGAGGTCGCTGAACCCCTGTGTTCACGCGCACTCACATTCACTTTTGGACACACGCGCGCATGCACAGACACATACACAAACACTACACCCCCACAAAGGGCTGACCCGCCAGGGTATTTCCCCACCACTACGGAGAGGCGAGAGGAGACTGGGGCTGCCCCCCACCCGTAGCCCCGCCCTGGACCCCAGAGAGTGAAGGGGACCACTCCCTCACTCTGTCCTGGGCTCCTCTCTTCTCTTCTCCTTGCGCCCACTTTCTCTCTCTCTCTCTCTCTTCTCTCTCTCTCTCTCTCTCTCTCTCTCTCTCTCTCTCTCTCTCTCTCTCTCTCTCTCTCTCTCTCTGTCGTCCTTTTTCCTTCTCTGCTTTCCTTTTGGACTCGTACTCTGGTACTTTCTGTCCCTCAGCCTCTGGTTCTTTCTCTCTCTCTGTCTCGATCTCTGATCTCTGCCTCTCTGTCTCTGTGCGTCACCCCCTCCTTCCCACTCTGGTCTCTGTAAGCTTTCTCTCTCTGCCTCTGTCTCTTCTTAAGCTGTCTGTCTGATTCTCTCTCTCTCTCTCTCTCTCTCTCTCTCTCTCTCTCTCTCTCTCGCTCGCTCTCTCTCTCGCTCGCTCGCTCTCGCTCTCGCTCTCCCTTTCCTAGTCTCCGACTCTCTTTGTCTCTCTTTTCCCCTCAGACCAGGGGCTCTCTAAGCCTCTGTTGATCCTCAGGCGGTAGGATCCCACGTGACCTCGGCCCTTCCTCCTCTTCCCCCGGGAAGCAGCCTCAACTACCTGCTGGGGGCAGCGGGGAGGTGCCACTCTCTATTCCCTCCCCTCCCCTCTCCTTTCTTCCCCTCCCCCTCCCTTTCCCTTCCCCTCTCCCTCTTTTCCCTTTCCTTCCCTTTCCAGTCCTGCCCTGCCCTCGGCTCCTCTTCCTCTGGCATCAGCTCTCAAGGGAACTAGGATAGGGGTGGGGAGGAAGCAGAGCCCAAGTCTCTGGAGCTTTATTTGACAACATCCTCTTGCTTTGCAAAAGTTACAAAGTGTTTCCCTCACCAGAAAGCCATGAAGTCGTTATCTCCATTAAATTAAGTGGGGAAATTGAGGCTGGCTGTAGGTGAGGGAGGGCCTTATCTGGCTCCCCCATCTAGAATTGGTCTCCTGTGTCCAGCCCTTGCTCCCCAACTCTAAGCGCCTCTCTGGCTCAAACAGCTCTGGAAAAAGTTGGGGTAGTCCCGGGGCTTCGAACTGGCTGTGAAATCTAAGGCTGCCTACAAGCTTCAAGTGACAGCCCTGAGTCTGTGAGCCCCACCCCTGCAGTTTAAACCCTCATTGCTGCCCCGGGCTCTGGCTTTGGTCTTTGTTGTTTTTTGCTCTTCCGGTATCTGCGGGCCTGCTCTCTCTGGCTCTCCTGCCTAGCAGGCAGCTCCTGCGTGGTCTCTTGGGAGCTCCTCCTCCTGAATGTTCATCTGGGGGGTCTCAAAGGCTCCTGTCTTTGAACAGGTTTCTCCACTCAGCTGATCCTTTTGCTGTCCTTGGCATTGCTGCCAATTTTCACTTCTGTATAAATGTGTCTTATATCTCTGATCTCTGGCCTCAACATTACCTGAGCTCCAGCCTTGCTTTGCCAGCTACCTGCTCTTCCCTCTATTATTTCCAACTGAAGAGTCACACTCCCCAGGTCCCCAGGTCTCATCAATCATCTCCTTTGGATCTCAGCACCCTATCTACACCTTTCTAAAATACTTAGGCATCTGGTCCTGGTCAGTGGTCCAGGCTACCATCCCTCTCTCTCTTGGACCGACTAGGGAGAGCTGATTGTTAAATTTTCATTGTGAACGTTTATTACTCAGAAATCAGCAAGTGCCATAAACCAGGATTTGATTTATTGTTTTGTTGATTGTCTAGGCCTAAGAAAATGACAGAGAAAATGGTAATCATGCAGGTTAGACTTAAAAGTGTGGTGGGTGTACAGTTTTTTCCCTTCAAGCTGATTTTTAGCCATTTACGAGTATACCCCTGCCAGTGGTACCCCTCGTCCACTGTCAGTTCTAAGAAAGGAGGGACTTCTCTGCATCTGAACTCTGTGCCTTGCCCCAAATCTTACAGCTGGAAGGCACCTCAAAGGATATATGTGCCTATAAAGGAATGCCCTCTATACCATGCACCAAAGATGGTCATCCACCTTCCATTTGAAGGTCCCCAGTGCTGGACATCTCTCCCCGTCCTCGTGCAGCACATTCCCCATTGGTAAGGCAATCCTCTTTGTTAGAAAGGTCTGTCTTAATTCTAGGTAAAATCTTCCTCAATACAACTTCTCCTCACTGCTCCTGGTTGTGCCCTCTGGGGGCAAGCAGAACAAAGCTAATCTCCCACCCCCTCCACACAATAGCCCTTTACATGCTTAGATATAGTGATCTAAACTATTGCTAAAGCATAAGGTAGATGTGTTGGGTTCAGAGGGAAGTCCAGGTGGAGCTGTCCAGCAGGCAGCAATTGGGGATGTGAGAGGGGGAAGGGGGGTAAGAAGAGAGGAAGAGAGAAAGAATGAGAATGAATGAGGGGGGAAAGAAGAGAGAAAGAATGAGAATGAATGAGAGGGGGAAAGGAGAGGGGAAGAGAGAGAGAATGAGAATGAATGAGAGGGGGAAAGGAGAGAGGAAGAGAGAGTATGAGAGAGAGAATGAGGATGAATGAGAGGGGGAAGAAGAGAAGAAAAGAGAGTATGAGAGAGAGAGAATAAGAGAATGAGAATGAATGAGAGGGGGAAGGAGAGAGGAAGAAAGAGAGAGAGAGGGAGAGAGAGGGAGAGAGAGAGAGAGAAGAGAGAGAGAGAGAGAGAGAGAGAGAGAGAGAGAGAGAGAGAGAGAGAGTGATTAAGGGCTCCATGTACAGATTTGGGGATTGTCTGCATAGAGATGAAAAATAATACCGAGGGAGAGTGGAAGGAAGAGAAGAGGACCCAGGTCAGAACCTTCGGAGGGTCTCACATTTTAGGGCTTGTAGGACGGCAATAATCTAGCAATGACAATTGAGAATGCAGCATCAGATAGGCTTGTGTTTGTTATGAAATAAAGGAATAAACTAACCAATTAATTAGTTTGGTTTAATTAATTTAATTAATCTAAGCCTGTCCCCAAACTTTCACCTTTCTTATTTCTGCGGAGGCTACCATCTGTCTCTAAGTCACCAAGGTTTAGAATCTGAGTCATACTTTAGTCTGGCAAAGGGAGATGAGGGATATTTGAGCTGTCTTCAAGTATCTGGAGGCAAATCCCAAGCATTAGATGGAGGAGGAATGAGCCTGGTTCAGCTTGGCCCCAAGGGGCAGAATGAGGAGCAGTGGGTAGAAATTTCAGGGCAAATGATGTCAGGGCAGTCCGAAGGTGGGATAGGCAGGGGGTTGCCCTCATAGGACGTGGTCAGGCAAAACTTGGATGAGGACTTGCTGCACCCCTGCTGCCATCCCAGGTCAGACCCTTTCTGCTGTGACATTTTGTGACTCTTCCCTCTCCCTCAGCCCCTGGGGCCAACCTAATCCAGTTGCCAGGTCTCTTTACTCACACAACCACAAGCCTAGTTGGGTCCTCATCATCTCTCACCTAGACTGTCATAAATTTCTCCAGTTTTTGTCATGTCCAACCCATCTTCCACAGACTAAAAATCACCTTGCTTAGGCACAGTTCCGACCACGTTACCCCTCTCCTAAAAACCTTCAGCATGTGGCTGCCCCCACCCCCAAGGGGGGCAGCATAGCACTGGGGACCCAAGTCCCTCAGCCCCACAGGTTTCCAGAGAGCTGCCTGCCCTAATTCTCCCCCCTTCTGCTCTGTAATTTACAGATTATCTAGGGAAGCCCTGGATGGGTAAGCTCTCTAACTCTGTCTCCAGTAGTGTTTGAGGCCCCGCGAACTTGGGCAACCAGAGGACTGAGGAAAGGAGCTGGCTGAAGGAGTCAGCGTGCCTGTGACTAAATGGGGCCAGAGGTGTGGTGCTCGCTATTGGTTTCAGTAAATTGCTGTGTCAGCCTGACATTCAAGGATCTCCACACACAATCTAGCTTCTTCCAAGCTTCCTTTGTCTGCTGGGTCTGGCCCTTGGCCATGCTATAGAGTAGATTCAGTTTGTCTCCAGAGCACACTCATCTTCACCCCATCCCCCTTACCTCCCTGATGGACCTGAGCCTTCAAAATTCAAACTGGGTCCCAACCTTCAGTCTCTCTGAGGGACATGAGCCCAGCCCCCTTCCCTCATGATGTGATTTCCTGCCTAGAGATCCTCACTCCAACCCCCTTCTCCAGTGGAGGACAGTGGGGCCCAGAGAAAGGAGGGTACTTGGTCAAGGGCACAGTGAGTGGGTGATAGAGCTTCAGGAACAAGCCATATTTCTTTCCCCTTCTGAAGGCTGGCTTTAAGTTCCCCATCCCTCCAGGTCTGGGAAAGTCAGTCATTACCTCAAGGGGAGTCCTTGGTGCTCCAGAGGACCACTCACATTGTTAGGAAGCTATTCCTTGAGTTTTCAATCACTCAACAAGCATTTATTGAACATCTACTACGTGCCAGGCACTGAGGTACAAAGACAAAACTAGAAAGGCCCCTGCCCTCATGGAGCTTACACTCTATCAGGGAACCGTCAGGTACACATATAATACAAAATATATACAAAGTCCATTTGTCTGATTGTAAAAACACATTTCATGAAAACAGAGTTAGTCTCGGGATGTTTGTCCTTCCAGGGACTTGTCTGGGTAACTTTCCCCAATGACTCCTCCCAGCGCTGCCCTCGGGGTCAAGCGGAACAAACTAATCCTTCCTGTACCTGATACCCTCAAGGACTTGAAAACAAGCTACAGTACCATGTCCCTGCCGGGTCTTCCTTCTCTGGGCTAACCAGAAGCAGTCCCTTGAATGGATCCTCACCCAGCCCCGCCTTCCAGGCCCTGGCTCCCTGCTGACCAGCCTACCCCTTCTCTGCTTCCTTCCTGAAATGGCCCGACCAGGCCGGGGACAGAGGGACCGGCACCGCTTCCCTGTCCTGGACACTAGGGCCTCTCCCAATGCGGCTGGCTAAGTCATGCTTGGCGATTGATTAAATGCTTGCGGATTGACTGATTGGTGGGCACAGGGCTGTGGGGGAGGGGAGGGGTGGCAGGCCTGGGCCCTACGCCCACCAGGCTCCAGCCCCCACCCCTGGTCACTGGCCCCAGCCCCTCTGGCCCCGACACCCGTCCCGGAGTTCACTTTGTCGCCTGGACTTGTTGATGTAAGATGACTCCAGGACCGTGGGCATTAAGCTTGGCACACAAGGCGATAAAGTACACATTTACATCTCACACACAACTCGTTACAGGACGTGTATGACGCTGGCCCACAGCGCACACCTCGCCCATTTGTGTCCTGGCCCAAGACCCAGGTGCGCCCACCCTGCAGACTGACAACACTCGTGGTCCAGGCCTCCCACGTGACATGGGGGCCAGAGGGCCTATACCCTGTTCAGGGGAGCATTCACACCGGTGCATACACACAAAGAGGCTCACGCTCACACGCAGCACGCTCTGAGCCTGGGCTGCCCAGCGGGCAGGGGTTCAGGTCTTCTTTCCTAGTGGCAAAATCAGGGGAGAGGTGAGAGCAGTCCCTCCCCCCCTTCTCTAGGGTGACATTTCCTTCCTCAGTTGCTCTTCCGCCCAGGCTCCTTCTTGCCCTCCACACCCCCTCCCCATCCCAGTTCCTCACCAGGGTTTTTGCTCCTGAGTGAGCATGTGCACAAGGCAGAAGGGCTGGGGGCGGTGGGGCTGGCGGGGGCAGCAGGCCCCGGCTCCTCTTCAGTACTGGGCATGCATCTGGGAGCTGAGCCCCACACAGATAATCTCTTCCCCATTAGTGGGCAGAGAGATGGGCCAGCTCGGTTGCAGGGAGGTGGGGACCCTTCCAGCCCTCAATGCATTAAGGTTTATATCGCCCCCCCAGTGCAAAGGCCACCATCACCAACCTCAGGTCAACTAGCCTCGGGCACTCTCCCCTAGAAAACTTCAGAGCTCAGATCCTACCCTCTAGGGAAGCCTGCCCAGATTGCTGTGGTCCCACCGGGGTTCCCCTTGCTATGATATCTCTAGCTTTCAGAGTCTGAGCCCTGAGTCACAGAGTGTAAGTTTCAAGGACTCCCCAGACTGGAAACTCTCTGAGGCTGCTCTCCCTCCCCCCCCAGACTGGAAGCTCCCTGGGGGCAGGGCCTGGGGCTGCTGCTCCTCCTTTGTGCTCCCAGCCTAGGAGCATTTAGCCTTCATTTGGAAATGTCCACTGGTGGCCTAGCCACACTAAGAACCTGTTCTACTTTTGGACAGCAGTGAACGGAATCCAGGACATAAGGAGAACCTTGGGTTTCAACCCCAGCTCCAAAGCTTCCTGGCTACATGAACCCAAGCAAACTGCCTTACTTCTCCAAACCTGGGGCTTTTCCAAGACAGTGGCTGGTGAGAGCTAGAGAAATGCGCCCTGCCTTTCTCTTTCTCAGTCCTCATTTGGCCCAGCTAGCCCCATCCCCCCCCCCCCCCCCCCCGCCCCTGGATTCCTGAAGAATGGTCATGACCTCATTGTGGCAGGAAGAGAAGAGGCCGGGACACAAACCCCACGACCCAGGGAGCTTATTTTTCTGGGCCTCGCTCCCTCTCCTTCAGCACAGACATATGAAGGTGACTTTCCAATCCAGGGACTCCACTGGGGGAGGTGGGGGAGCACAGCCCCCTACGCCACCAAAAACGATACCCCAGTGTAAGATGGGATGCCTGCCTCCACCCTGACCGAAGTCTGAGGCCAGCCCGGCCAGCCGTCAGAACCCACACACCCACATAGGCACCTGAATCACCTTCAGTGCTGGAGTGGAGGTCTAGTCCAACCCATAACTGAGCGAGAATCGCCTTGACAACATTCCCGACAGGGGTCACTGAACTGCCATGGAATGATGGGGATCTCACTGCTTTGCACAGGAGAGCTTTGGATAGGCTTGTAGAACCACTCACTGCTCCTGGTTCTGCTGCCTGGGACACAGCACAAGGAGGCTGTCCTCATGACAAGTCTCCGGGGTCAGCAGTCCCAGGTTCTTCCAAATGATCTTTGGACAGCATGCTCTGCAAGCCTCCTGCATCCTGGTGTCCTTCCTGAGAATGGGTGCCCAGGACTGAACCCAGAGGAAGTCCGTCCAAAGCAGAGGACAGTGGGACCCTGCCCTCACTGCTCCGGCACCGGCCGGCCCCTCTGAACTCAGGCCGAGATCCCAGAGGCGTTTTACACAGTTGATTCACATCGAGCTTGTGAGTCACTAAAACCCTCAGATCTTTTTCAGAAAAATTGCCGTCTCCTGTTCTTGTGGTTGTGCAGTGGATTTTTGAGCCCAAGATGAGAATTTTGTTTGTTCTTTGGTAATATTTCACCTCCTTAAGTTGGCCCAAAGCTCTAGAGCTTGCCGCAACCTTTTCTTGGCTTCTGACTGTCGTTGGCCAACACGTTAGCTCTCCACTTCCCCAGGATGTGTTTATGTGTGCACATGAACATGTTTATATGCATGTTTGTGTGCGCATGTGTGTGTGTGAATGTGTATATTTATGTGTTCATGTGTGAATGTTTGTGTTTGTGTGTGCATTGTGTGAATGTGTGTGTGCATGCATGTGTGTGTGTGTGTGTGTGTGTGTGTGTGTGTGTGTGTGTGTGTGCGTGCAGTTGCCAGCCCAAGAATCTCCAGGAGTTTCTTCCTCTCTGGGATGGCTCCGATCACCCTCACAAGGAGCTCAATCTGCTTCCCTGTGCTTCCTGGCCCTGCCTTCTGGGCCCATGACAGCCTCACACACATGCAGAGGGTATTCATTTCTCCTGAAGCCTTCTCTTCTCCAGCCTGGGGGTGTTCTCCCCAGTTCCTCCAAATGGGCCTCATCTGCCCTGGGGCCCGGGCCTCAACCATCCCAAGCATCTTGCTCTGACCTTTGTCCAGCCTATCAATGTCCTTCCTAAAATGTGCTGCCTAGGCCTGAACCTGATGCTCCAGGAGAGGCCTGAGCAGGGCAGGGGGTGGCAGACCCCCCCTCACTCTGGACAGGAGCACTCTGAAACCACGTGCACAGCTCCACTCACGGCCTGCCTATTTTCATCCCCATACATATGTCCTTGTTCAGACACATGTGTTAAAATACACACCCAGACACCCAGACACAGCTCCCCCAACCCTGACCCCCATCTCCAGGGCAGAGAAGATAGAGGTCTTCCTTGTGAAGCCCAGGCTCCAGCACAGAGAGGGCCCATTCTCTGGCCCCTCTCCCCAAGCCTGGGTTTCGAAAGTCTGCCAGAGGCAGGCACAGGATAGGGAGGCTGAGCCTTGGGGCCCCAGTATCCTGCCTGCCCCCATCCTACCCACGTGACTTCTATTCCTGAGTGGGGCAGAGGCCTTTGGAGGTAGTAGGCATAAAAGCCTCTAAGCATCCTTTATCCTCGTTTATCCAGACACTGTCCTCTGGTCCACGGAAAGAGCCCCCCACCCCCGACCTCAGTGAATGAGGTCGCCTCTGGCTGCAGGGCCTGCTGCCTGCTTCCTGAGAGTCTGCTCTGTGCCCTCTGGGATGGGGAGGACAACACTGATGGGTGAAGCCAGGCATCAGGGTCGAGCCCAGACAAGGTGGTGCCTGTGGCCCCCAGCCTCCTCATGGCTCAATCTCCAGGCTGTCCATTGGCAGCTCAGGGGCCTTGAAGCTGATGACCTCTTCATAGGTGAGCTCTAAGTAGGGAGATGAAAACCGTGGACAGAGGGACGAAGAGACAGGTAGACAGTGACAAGGACACAGAGAAACAAGTGAGTTTGAAGATCCCAATCCCTGATCTTCTCCCCCCACACCTAGCATCCCCACCTCGTCGTTCAGTCCCCCCGGCCTGAGGAAGGGGGTGCTCAGGTACATAGGGGTGCTGGCCAGGGACTGACAGATAGAGCCCATGGCAAGATTATACTCATAACTGAAGGAAAGGCTACATTTCAGTTAGAGATTAGTGAAATAAACTCCCAAGTCCACTAGACCCCTCTGTGAAGCCCAGGTTAAGAACTCCTCACCCAAATGAACCCAGCCCCCTTCCCTCCACAGGATTACGTCTGAGAAGAGTTGGGGATGTCTCTCCGGGGGACGTGGAGCAACGTCCTCCCTTTGCTCTGAGGAAACGGACTGATGGCCAGCCCACTGGGCCATGACCACCAGCCAAGCCCCGCCTCACAAAACCTGCCCCTGGAAAGAGGGGGACCTCACCTCTCTGCCCTGAGGGATTGGCCTGCATGAACCTCCCAGCTCAAGCCCTCTGTTCCTACAACCAGTTTGGGGTTTGGGAATCAGGGGTATGCCCAGCAGAAGTCAGGGGACAGGAATGGGGCAAGTTAAGGAACAGGGCTCAATGAAATCCTGAGGCCTGAGAAAGATGAAGCCCCCTGGCCCCCCAACAGCCTTGCCCCTCACCCTTCCACTCCTCAATGGTCCTCTCTTTGTTTTCAATGCTCTCATCATAGGGCTCAGCCTCGGGCTCGTCCTCAGGATCGTGGTACTGGGCAAAGTAGGGGTGTGCCAGGGCCTCCGTGGCACTGACCCGCCGGTCACTGTCCAGGACCAGCATCTTCTCCAGCAGGTCGACAGCTGGGGGCAGGGAATGTCATTGAAACATGGTCAAGTAGCCCGAGGCCTGACCCCTCGCCCCACAGCCCAACTCACAACTGACCTCTCTGGGCCTCTGTTCCCCTATCTAGGAAATGGAGATAAACGTCTACCTCAGGCAACACCCAATGATGTTCACCCATCTCTGATGTGCCAGTCATGTACCAGCATGAATTACAGCAGCAGCCTGTGTTGGCATCCCTCTGTTAATTATCTCCAATTTCTCCTGTCTAGCTTGTTCACATATAGCCGTCTGCATGTTGTCGCCCCCATCAGACTGTGAGCTCTATGACAGGAGGGACTGATTTAACCCTTTCTTCATTTCCCCAGTGCTTAGCACAGTGCCCGGCACACAGCAGGCATTTAATAAACGTTTAGTGACCAACTCTCTTATCCTCCTCTTGGTCTAGAAACTCCATGAGGGTATGGACTAGGTCTTTTCTGCTCAATGAAAGTGTATACACAGTACTTTGGAAACCCGAAAGCACCGTGTGAATTCTATTATTATTATTACTCTGTATTTTCCCCAGTGCAGACCAGGGCCCTGCATGCAGAAGAAACTTAATCAATGTGTTTTGCATGGATGAATGAATGAATTCCCCAACCCATCTCTACCTGCTGATTCTTCCTGCTCCCTCTTCCCTGCAAGATAGGAGCAGCGCTGAATCCTTTCCAGGCATTTCCTATCCCCTTCCTGCAGGGAGTAGTTAGGGTGTGACCTTTTCTCAGCCTTCTCCTCTAGAGATATAATCAGCTATACAACAATTAGCTTCTTTTTAGCCGATGGGCAATATAATGACCCCAATTTCCCCATGATCCATTTCTCTATTTTATAAAGATTATATGGGGGCAGCTAGGTGGCATAGTGGACAGAGCACCAGCCCTGGATTCAGGAGGACCTGAGTCAAATCCAGCCTCAGACAGATAACACTTACTAGCTGTGTGTCCCTGGGCAAGTCACTTATCCCCATTGCCTAGCCAAAAAAAAATAGTACAAAAAAAAGATTATAGAAGATGAATAGTTATTAATGCAATCACAATAGCTCTGAGCCCCCAGTTAGGAAAATTTCCACCATTAGGAGACAGAGTGGTATAGTGAAAAGAGCAACGGAGTTGAAATAGGAAGAACTGAGTTCAAATCCTGGCTATGCCACTTATCACCTGTGTGACTTTGGGCAAGTCCCTTGACCTCTCTGGGCCTCAGTTTTTCCATCTGAAAAGTGAGGGGACTGGACTAAAGGGCATTTGAGGTCCCTTCCGGCTCTACGTCTGTGAACCTATGAGCCTCAGTCTCTATCTTCCTTTGGGGGCCAGCTTAGGTGTCACCTCTTCCTTGGAGCCCATCCTGACTACTTATCCCCAGGTGAAAATAAGCTTTCTACCATATTTCTTACCATATTTTTTTGGGGGGGTAGCCCACTTCCTTTGAACTTATTCCTCTCTCTCTTAAGGAGGGGAGGTGATTTTCCATGGTCACAAAGACAGCGAGTTTTTAGAGTCCCCACTTATCTCCTCACCTCAGAGTTATTGGTGAATTTAATTGTCCCTTCCCTTCCCCCCTCTCAGCTAGAAGGTAAACTTCTCTGGGGCAGGGCTTATGTTCCCTCTCTCTGTGTCCCCAACACCACGCATGGTCCCATTATACAGCAGGTGCTTAATACCTATTTGTTTAATTGAATCAATATGTTTACTCCCCTCTATGAGGAGGAAAACTGAGCTTTCACCCTAACTCTGTCTCTATTATCCTTGGCCCCCATCCTTCCCCTCCACATCCTGGTGCCCTATCACCCCAGTCCTCATGACTCTCACCCTCATTCCTTCATCACCGTTAGCTACTCCCCCATTTTCCCCTTGAAACCCTGCTCTCTCTTCCCTTCAGCCTCTTAGCCCATCTCTTCCTCCTTACCAAGGGGGTTGGCTCCTCGGAAGATGCTTCTCAGGTCCTTCTGGGGCATGTGGGGCAGGGACTCGATGTATTTTCGGGCCTGGGGAGGGTGGAAGCAAGGGGATCTTAAATCCTTTCCTAGTGAAAATGATACTGGATAACTGGGGAGGATAGGAAAGAGGCAAGAGGCAAAAAGGGGGCCTGGGCAAGGAGCAGTAGGAAGTTTGGGGGATGCGTAGAGAACCTAGCTGGGCCACTCACATGTTCCGATGAGATCTTCTTCAGCAGCTCAGAGCTGGGCGTCCCAACCACCTCCATGATCCGTTTGAGCTGGTCAATGTCTACCCAGCTCAGGAAAATCAGAGCCCGACTTGAACTGCCCACCCAGGGTCCCCAGGTCCCTGCCCAGAGGGATTCAGGAGGATGTGATATTAATACTAATAAAACAAAGAAATCATGGTGTAATGAATAAAGATCTGACCTGGGAGTCAGAAGAACTGGGTTCAAAACCTGCCTCTGACGGTGATGGCTATGTGACTGGGCAAGGGGCTTTACCCCTCAGTGCTTCAGGTAACAGTCTATTAAACTGCAGAGAGGTTGCTAATTTGCATCGATGGAGGGGATTTCCTTAAAGGGAGTTCCCTTTGCCAACTTAATCACAGGTCCAGGTACAAGCACATACAGAAGACAATGAAAAAGAGCTCTTTGAGGATTGAGGTTTCTTAGCAAGATGCTTTCCTTGAAATAGCCCAGGGGAAGCAGAGAGTGTGAGAATCATTACTGCCATTTTCCAGATGAGGAAACTGAAATTCAAAGTGGGAAAGTGACTCCTCAGGGATCCAGTCACTAGAAAGCATCAAAGTCAGTTCCAAAGCAGGTTTTCTGACTTCAAGTCTGATGCAAAGGAGACAGCATCATCTCCCAAGCCCTTGTCCCAGCCCCCTGCCCCTGCCCTCCACAGCATCTTCTCATGCTTCCGTCCAAGGATACAGTCATTTCCAGGGAATAGGGCCTTCCCCTTCAAGAGCTCTGCCATGATGCAACCCACGGACCATATGTCCACTGTGAGAGGGGGGAAGAGAGAGAGAGAGAGAGAGAGAGAGAGAGAGAGAGAGAGAGAGAGAGAGAGAGAGAGAGAGAGAGAGAGAGAGAGAGAGAAAGAGGGAGAGAGAGAGAGAGGGAGGGAGACAGAGACAGAGAGAGGGAGGAAGGAGAGAGAGGGAGGGAGAGAGTAAAAGAGAGAGAGATTGGGTGTGGGGGGTCAGTCTGAGTCCCCGTCCCTACTGGAAAGCCCACCCTGCCTGTTCTAGCTTATCTGGACCTCCCCTTTTCTGACTCTTCTAGGCCTTAGAGTGTAAGCACCCCACCCCACCCCAGGCCCAGGGCTGGGCCACACTCTGTCTAATCTGTGGGACCAGTCTGCCCTCTGGCCTGGGCCCCATCCTCTCCTCTAGTTGGGGGCTTCCCCTTAGCCCTAGCCTGTGAGCTCCCAGAGGCCAGGGCTTGGGTCCTCTCTTCCTCTGCCTCCCTCACCAGACTGTGAGCTGGCCTGCTCACTTTACCGGCCAGCCCTTGCTGACACTTGGGGCTTCTTTGATGTGGCTGCTTCCCTCTCCCTCTCCCGCCTTCCCTCCCTCCCTCAGCTCACACTCACTCAAGCTCTCCCTTCAACACCCCACGCAGTCCATAACTGAGCAGGAGGCGTTTTCACTAACTTCCTGACCTTCCTGACCCCCAGGGAAGCCATGAGCTAAACCCACAGCAACCTAAGCCAGAGGGCAGCGATCCTTTAGCCAAGCTCGGGAACAGGCATAGGGAAGCTGACAGCTCCCAGACCGGAATTCAGAGTTGAGTTGTCTGCAGAAAGGAACTGCTCAGCTCGCCCCCTCCCCTGGCCTCACCTCCACCTGAGTGAGGTGATACTTCCCAGAGCATCCCCTGGGCCCACACTCCTGTGAGAATATCCAAGTTCATTGGAACGGCAAACATCTGCTTTGGGTCTTCTGGGGCAGCCTGCTCACCCTCTAGGTGGGGTAGGCTTGAGCATCAGCTGTGTCCGTGTTGTTCTGTGGACCTGTCATGCTGTATGGCATTGTGGACAGAGCTGGTCTTTGAGCCAGGGAGACCTGGGCTCCCATTCAGCCTCTGACATATCCTGGCTCTGTGACCCTTCAATTCTCAAAGCTCTGGGCAGCTCTCTGAATTACTAGTTGAAGAGAAGATGCCAACTGGCATTGAGAAGGGCTTTCCTCACCCAGGAGTTCCCCAGAGCGATGAAGCCAGAGATCCAGCCCCTAGCCCTATTTTGCTAATGCTAGACCCTGCAGGATGCTTCACTAGCTGCTACCTGTGTTTACCTCCTCCCTCATTCTCATCACGTGAAAAGCTGCCTCGACCTTACCTGTCTGGTTATAATGCATCCAGTTGAGCATGATCTCAGGGGCGCGATACCAGCGCGTGGCCACATAGCCCGTCATTTCATCATCTGTCTGGCGGGCCAGCCCGAAGTCCAAGATCTGAGGAGCCACAACCACAGCTGAGTTCTTCAGCCAGGAGGCGAAAGACCTGGCCCTGCCTTAGGGAGCCCCTGGCCTGACAGGACCCACAGGACACGGCCAGGGCAACATTAAAACCCCACAAATGAACACGAGGTGGAGGGAGGCCAGGTATGCAGAGGAGACCCCGGCTGATTGTTTGGGGACAATTCAGGATAATTGAAAGTCTGATGGAAGGAGCAGAGGGACGGCCCGGCCACCATCCAGACAATCAAGCTGCTCAAGGAACAGAACTAGAGGAGGGAGACCCCCCCAAGTCCCATCACCGCCCCCCCCACCACACTCCTTCTGGTTGGTCAGGAGAGGGGATTCTCTGATTCCACACAGCTGCGGATAATCCCCAAATGGTGACTAAGCCAAAGGTCACACCCAGCTGAACCCAGGTCCACCTTTGTGCCGCCCTGTAGACACCTGGGTCCTTTCCCTCAACACAAATGGGGCACATTAGGCTACTGTCAACAGCAGCACCGAAGGACAATCCAGAGCTGGAGGAATTGGTTTCCACATCTGTTCTTAGGTCTGACTTCCTGGATGGGAGGTATTGGCACACAAACGAGCCCCCAGGAGTGAAAGGCAAGCCCAGGACCTTTAAAAGAGGCTCCAGCCATTTAACCAAGCCAATGATCTTTAGGAAATAAACCGTGAATAGACACGGAGACAGAAACAAGGTTCGTTCAGCAGGCGCCCTGGTTGTAGGGGCAGGGGTGGGAGCTGGCTCTGGGTTCTGCCTGGGCTGCTCTCAGCAGCAGCTATGTCCACCCTTGGAAGCCAGATGCCAGGGCTTTAGGGCAGGGCTCAGGTGGGGGGAACAGAAGCTGATGAGGAAGGAGCTCCATCTCAGGACTCCCCCCTGCCCAGGAAGCCTCACCCTCAGCTCGCAGTCCTCGTTCACAGCCAGGTTACTGGGCTTCAGGTCCTGTAGGCATGACAGCAACCCCAGGTGAGTTTTCTGCCCTGGTACATGGCCCACCTGGATCCCAAAGCACTGTTCCCCCTACTCTGCATCCTCCCTCCCCCTATTCTACCATCCTCCCCACCTGCCCCTTCTGGAGGCCCAGAGAGCAGGACCCCAAAGCCCCTCAGTGCTCTGCTGGCCCAGACCCAGCCATACTCACTCTGTGGATGATTCCGGCCGAGTGGATGTACTGAGGGATGCAAGATAGATAGGAAGGTGAACCATCAGCAGGGCCTGGCCTAGCGACCCACTTGGTGAGTTATCCAGCCCCAGGAGGGAGCAAGTCAGGGAGGGCAGAGTCAGGGAAACATCAGGCACTGGGGATGAGGAGAGTCCAGGGGCCCGGCTCATCTCTCACCTTCAGCCCCCGCAGCAGTTGATATGCGAGGAACTGTATGTGTTCATCCGTTAGCTTCTGGCATCTGACGATGTTGTTCAGGTCGGCCCCCATCAGGGTGGTCACGAGGTACCTGTAGGGAAAGGCCAGGGATGAGGGGCCCAGGGCCCAGGAACCAAAGGAGGGAGTCCAGTGGTGGTCAGAAGGTCCAGGACTCAGGAACCATAAGAGGGGGGTCCAGTAGTGATTGGGAGACTCAGGGATCAGGGATGAGGGATGGCAGCCCAGGACTCAGGGACCAAGGAGGGGGTCCAGGGATAGGTAGGGATCAGGGATCAGGTAGGCCCCTCACCAATGAGAAAGGCAGAGCCATAGCCTCAGGCTACTGTACTATTGCCCCATCTCAGCCCTGGGCCTCAAGCAGGTGCACCCCCAGACCCCACTCACACTTCATTGAAGTTTTCTATGGAAGTAGCCGGTGTGAAGACATCTAGCAGGCCAATGACCTGGGCAGAGACAAGGGGCTTCCTGTCAGGGGCCTCCAAACCCCAGCAGACCTCCTCCCCCAGGATTCCAGACCCCTGAAGCTCCTCACGTTTTCATGTTTCATATGTTTGAGCAGTCGCAGCTCCCGGTACGTCCTCCTGGCGTGGACCAAGGACTGGAAGGGCCGGGACAGCTTCTTCACGGCCACTTTTTGCCGAGTGCGGGTGTCATATGCAGAGCTGTGAAACAGGCCAAGTCAGTGAGGGGGATGGGTTAGGAGAATGTGCAGTGAGCAGAAAATGGGCCTGGGCCATGGGAAATCCTGTCCCCCTGCCCCTCGCTGCATCCAGAGAAGGAGGCCAGACAAGAGGACACTGAGGACCAGCAAAGGTCATGGGAGCTAGTCCTAGACTGGCCCACACTCACAGGAGAAGAGGGGTAAGATCTGTCCCCAGGAATGGGGCAAGAAGAGAGAAGCCCATAGGCTCTAAGAGGAAGACATCCATACAGAAATGAGGTTGTGGACAAGACAGCACAGAGCTGTGGGGAGGAGCAGACCCCCTCAGGGACTGGAGGAAGGGAAGGAGCCTGAGGCCCAGCCTTGAGGGCCCCTTCCAAGTGGCAGTGAAGAAGCCGACCTGGTTGGAGCCAACCTGTCCAGGCCTGGCCATTCCTTCTCTCCTATCCTGTCCACAAAGCCCTGGGCAGGAGGGGTAGGCATGGCTCGACTCAGTCCTCCTGCTTACAGCATCCTCGAGCTAAGCTCAAAGGGATCTTTGAGGCTGTGGCTGGGAGAGGTGGCCCAGATAATAAGTGCTGGAGGCAGAATTTGCACTCAAGTCTTCCTGACTCCCACTGTTACCTACCAGCTTTCAGAAAGTCCCTCTGCCTCTTAGAGTCAGCTGTTGCCTTTCTTTCACTGGTCATTCCTTCCATATTGATCTTGGTCCAACTCCTCGTCACTGTTCCCTGCCAGCCTCCAGCCCATGTCCCACTTTTCAGCACGGCTCAGTCTCTCAGCCCAATCCCTGCCCTCATGCTCATGGCCATGGCTGTGACTTTAAAGACTCTGGCCTCTCAGTCCACCAACCTCCTGACCTCCCTTGACCTCCTCCACCTTCACTCCACCTCCAGCTTGGCCATCATCTTGACTCTGGCCATCTCTCATAAATGTTCTACCTCCATGGTCCAGCTCACTGACCATAACCTCCTATCTTTCAATTTATCCTTCAGCCTTGCCTTTCCTAAACCTGTTCTTCGTCCTTATTCTGATCTCTTTTCCCTCGGTTCACAGTCTGGACTCTATGATTAATCAGTTCAACCTAGCACCATCAACCACCCTGTCATCGCCAGTCCCACCTCATTAAACCCCAATCCCTGGTTACGGCCGCCATCTGCCTTTTTCATTCCTACTCATTTACTTCTGAGTGCTCTTAGTGACGCCACAAAGGAGCTTCACTGCTGCACGGTGATCTTTCCATTCTGCCCAATTGATTTTATCCCACTCTCTATAGAAGTGATTTGCAAACCTTCCCTTCTTCCCTCAGACACCTTACTCCATCCCTCTGGCCTCCATTCTGCAGCAGAGGCTTTCACTTCCTACTTTATGGAGAAAACAGAAGCCATCTCTTAGGAGCTCCCTCTTCTCCTCACTGCCATCACACCTCAAAACCCCCGTGTGTGAGCCCGAGCTCTCTCCTCCTTTATGCCAGTCTGATGAAGAGGCAGGCCTTGTTAAGGCCAACTCCACTTGCTCCCCTAATTCAGTCCCATCCCATTGCATCCTCGAGCTAGCCTTTGAACCATTCCTTCTCTCACATATCTTTGACCTCTCCTTACCCTGGCTCTGGCTCTGCCACCAACAGAAATGCCCACTTCTCTTGCGTCCTTAGCATTCATCCATTCCTTGACTCTCACTTGACCATAGCATCCCCTGAATTCTCTGTCTCCTTTTTGGGGCATGGATGGGACCAAATGGTTGTTAAGCACTCTTCCAACTCTCTGATGCTATGATTCATTACATTCTCCCCAAACCAATGCCACCTCCCTTTTCCCTGCTTCTGTCACGGACACCATCATCCCTCCAGCCTCCCAGCTTCCCAGCCTCTGAGTCATCCTTGATTTTCTTCTATCTTCTTCAACCACCATAAGCGATCAGTTCTGAAGTCTTGTCAGACCCCACCTCCACAACACCTCTCCCACCTTTTCCCTCCTCACATGACCATCCCCCTCATTCAGGCCCACATTGCCCTCCTCTTGTGCTATTGCACCCCTACTTCCATCCTCTCTCCTTTCCAATCCACATTCACAGAACCAATATGCTGGTATTCCTAAAACACAGATCTGACTGTGTCACTCCCTTCCTCAAACATTTTCAATGGGTTCTAATTGCCTCTGGGGTCAAATACAAAATCCTCAGCCTGGCATTTAATCTCCCCCCCAAATCTGGCTCTGACCTTTCATGAAACAGCTCTGCACATACCTGCTGTTCCAGTCTCCCTAACCTCATTGTCCCCCGCACATGCCAAATCATCTCTAGTTCCTACACCTTTATCCCAGTGGCTTCCTGCATCCCCAGTGCATCCTCATCTGCAATCCACTCTCTCCTCACCGCAGTCTGGTAGCTGTCCCTAAAAGCCCAGCTCCTAGCCCTTGAAATGGCTTTGCATATACTCATTACCTGCTACTTGTGCAAAGGTGTTCTATCTACTGTGCACACAAACCCCTGAGGGCAGGGGCTGAGATCCCCACCCAGACTCTGGCACAAGTAGGTGCTCAATGAATGAATGGCCTTTCAATTGGCTCTCTACCAAGCTTTCCCAGTATTGAAAATATTATGATTCCCATTTTACCAACGAGTAAACTGAGGATAGGTGGCTTCCTCAAGGTCACCAAGCTAAGGAGTTTCATAGCTGGGATTCTGATCCAAGTCTTCCAAGACCAAGGTCAGTGCTCTGGGAATAGAGTGGGCCTCAATTTGCCTACCTCACAGCCTCAGCTGACCTCTGAGACTTGGAGATCATCTAGCCACCAGGATTGCCCAGCTCCAGGGAGCTCTGGCCCCCTCCTTCCTTGAGCTCCTGGTACGGAGAGAGGAAGGTAGAATTGGATCCTAGACATAGCTCCAGCATCCTGCAGGGCGGAGCGCCCGGCTGAGGTGTTGGCTATGGATGGGGGATCAGTAAGCACACGCCATGCTATTATCTGTCACAGACTTTCTCTGGGCTTTGTCGTCGATTCTACTTTTCATTTGTGCCTTATTAAACTCAAGTCCAAGGGAAGAGGCAGCTCAATTTGTGTCCCTAGGGACCAGCAGTAATTATTGGAGCCAGACAGTCTGGCAGGTACTAAGGACTCACGTACACACACACCTGAGCTCAAGCTGGCCCCCAGGACCCCAGGGTCACTCGCCCAACTGGCTCAGCCACTCAGACAATGACCATCTTTCCTTGGTCCGGACCCCAGGTACTGATGTCAGCTTCCCCCTACCCCAGAGTAGGGACATACCAGAGCCTTCCCTTGGGGGCTCAGAGCTCCCAGAGCCTGGGGCTGCTACTCTAGGTCCCCAGGCTGTAGGGTCTGGGGTTGCCTCTTCTCTCCCCCCAGGCAGGAGCTCCCTGAGGGAGGGGCTTTGGTCTGCTCCTCCTCTGACCCCCGGTTTAGGACAGGTCTTAGCGGAAGCCCAGAGAAGCTGAGTTGGGCAGAGACATGATCCAGAAGGGCGGGGATGTCATCTGGATAGGAGACATTCGAGGAGCTCAGTGGTTCAGAGGGACGGCCTTAGCGATCTTAGTGATCTCACTCACCTCCCTCTGGTACCTGTGGGGCTCCAGCCAGGGTCAGGTTAGGCATGGGCCGGGCCCCAGCAGAGCCCTTTGGGGGTGCTCCAGGTTAGGAGGGGAGGGAGAGCATGTGAGCAAGGGGCCTGAGGCACCACAATGAGGGGAAGTAGAGGAGGCAGGCCTGGGGAAGTCACTTCCTGCCTGTGGGCCAGGACAGAGAGGGAGGAAGGGAGTTTCTTGTTACAAAAAGAATTCAAAGCTACAGGACTGGAGTGGGCCAGCAGGCCTCTCCAAGGCTGGGGCAGCCCTCCTCCCATTCAGCTTCCAACGGTTGGACAGAGACAGCCCTATCCAGGTATCTCTCCATTATCCCCAAGCCTGGACCTTTCAAGTCAGCAGCCACAGGGAGACCCAGGTCCCAAGCTCCAGGCTGGCCTACTCCCCACCTCCCATCCTGGGAGACCTCAGCATCTGGGGGTCCCACAGAGACCGCCAACTCCCCATGCCCCAAATGGAGCTGGGTGTCTTCTCCCTCAAACCGCCCTATTTCTGGGGAGGCTCCCACCCCACTTTGACCCCCCTTCTCTGGCTGCTGGTCAGCTTGTCAACATTCTTCCTAATGGGGATCCCTCGAACTGACCACAGGACTCCAGACATGGTCTGAGCAGTACAGGGCACAGTGAGACCAGCACCTTCGCACTCCTGGACATCCTGCCTCTCTTAACCCAGCCCGCTGGTTTCCATGTTTGGCTTCCATGTCATGGAGCTGACTCATGTTAAGGCTGTGCTTTGTCATAGAAAGGGAGCTGAATTGGATCAGGGGAGTTTGAATTCCAGCTCTGCTACTTGTTACATGTATAACCTCAAGCGAGTCATTGGTCCTCTTGGAGCCTCTGTGTCCTCTTCTGTAAAATGAGAGTATTGGAAGAGATGGCCTCTAGAAGATCCATACCTGGCAAGAATGCTAGAACTTTCAGACCGCCGATATCATGACATTTTTTTTTAAACAGAAGTTGCTATCTAGTATACAGTGATCTTTTAAATCATAGCATAAGACTGCACATTCTCCCCTGTTCAATTCCCTCTTGTTAGTTTCAGCTCAACACTATCCTGTCAAGACCATTTTGCATTCAAGCTGTTGTATTGTGAGCCTCAGCTCAGTCCTTGGATAAGTTTGTCTTTTCAGTCTTTGCCAAACAGCAAAGGACGATTCTGAATGCTGGGCTGTGGGCAGAGCCTTGGGGAGCTCCGGTGAACACCTCCTTGGGTCAGCACTGACCATTAATCACTGCCCCTTGGGGATTTTGAATCTCTCCAGCCTGCATTATGCCCACAGAGATCCTGGGAAAACCTGAATGCTGGGCTGAAAGGCAGGAATCCACTTTCTGTGCCACTGCCCTGATCTGTGAAGTTGAACAAGCCAGGCAGGGCCAGAAAGGAGATCTAGCTGGCCCCAAGCGCTCTCCTTTGTAGCGCCCCTGCCGACTGGCAATGACTGCCCCGTTCATCTGCCAGCAGCGTCACTTGAATGATGTGACTTCCCAAGGAGAAAAAAGTCCCGACACTTCAGCCTGACATAAAGGCCTTCCAAGGCTCCAACCCCTGCCTCTACCTTGTAACTTACTATTCTGCCTCAGACTCCAAATGTTCCTGCTTTCAAAACAAACCAGCCAGCCCAGTTCCTTTCTCCACACCTTTGCACACACTGTTTCCACCGCCTGCTACACCCCCCTCCAAACCCCATATCTCTTTCTACTGGCATCACATCCATACTTCAAGGCCCTTAGAGGTTTCTCTTCTCTGGAGCACTTTCCCTGAACCTCCTTGCTTACCCCAGGGCTAGACTGTCTCCTCTAACCCCCACATCCCCAGAGCCTGTGCCTGTCCCTTCTTAAGACCCCTGATTCCCTGCCTGGGAGGGGAGTCATTTGGGTCCCTGACTTCAGAAACATCCTGGTGCAGTGTGCCCAGAGCCCTGGCCAAAGAGTCAGGGGCCCTGGGGTCTAGCTTTGCCACTGCCTGCCTCCCTGTGTGAGCTTGGCCATCTCATTTGCCTTCTCTTGGCTTCAGTTTACTCCTGTTGGCCTAGGTCTCTGAGACCCCTTGCTTGTAATGGTCTAGGCCACATCTCCCTGTTGGAAGGTAAGCTCCCTGGGCGCAGGGTCAGAGCCTCTTTCAGCTGTCTCCTCAGAGGTGGCCTGAGCACAGTAGGTGCTCAGCAATCTTCCTTAGAAGTTTGACAAAAGACCTCCGCACAGGGTGCCCGCCTCCTCTCAGGAACTGGGGAAGTGCCCAGAGACCTCTCTCTTTCTTCCCAGCAGTCCCTTCCTCCTGCTCCTCTCTGCTTGGCTACAGCTGTTACCACAGTGAGTCTGCAAAGCCTGAGCTTGCCCAGAGCCAAGGTAGGGCCCTGTGTGCCCCCTGCAGCCCTGTGAGCCTCAGCTGTCCACCCCTCACCAGGAACTCCTTCTCATACTGCTAGCTCTCCCACATCCAGCCCATCTCCAGCCCTGTACTCCTGGCTCCCTAAACACGGCTCTGGGCTCATCTGTCTCTCAGCTTGGAGACTCCCTTGTCCCCCGGCCCCCATTCTGAGTGACGGCTATCTTTCTTCCAGAAGGGGGACTCCTACAGAACTACATCTGCCACCCCAAAGAGGGACTCCCACAGAGCTGTGTCTGTCTCCAGAAGGGGGAGCCCCTAGGGCTGTGGATGCCCCTCAAAAGCAGAACTCCTCCAGGGACATCGCTGCCTTTCAGTAGAGGGAGCCCCCAGGGCCGGGAGCTCCCCCACCGCAGACCTGGGGTTCTCTGACACAAGGCCTTGCCCCTCAGCCCTATTGGCCTTCTCACAGAATGAGAGACCCCTAATGGTCACAAGTGGACTGGGGTCAGCGTGTGTGTGGTTGATTAGGGGTGGAGACAGAGCCAAGAGCTGAGGGGTCAGATCAAACACTATGTGGCCTTCATCCCCCACCCCTCCCCCATTATCTAGGGCTCCCACAAGGCCCCAGGAAGTCAGTATGAGCTGGGACAGACAGACATCAGGCTGACCTGGGAGAGGATGCCCACAGTCACATAGTAAGTACCCCAGCTGCCTCCTCCCACCCCCACCCCCCAAGAGAAGGGGCTTTTGAATTATCTCCAGCATTAGCTAATGACCTCAGCCCCAGAACTCAGTCCTCCCACCCCACCCCAGCTCTGGCTTCTGAAAGGACCGGGGGCAATCTGGGGAAGGAGTTGCCACAAGCCCAGAAGCCCCTTCCCTTCGTAAGATGCAGGGGCGCTCCTGCCAGCCAGCACGGGAGCTGAGGGTATCCGGGACTCCTCCGACTGCGCTGGCAGGGCGGGGGAAGGGAACTTCCATTCATCCCCTCTTTCATTTGTTCGTTCATTCATTCATTCGATCCGGGAAGGGCAGGGCGGGGCTGGGGGGGTGTTTCTCCAGCCACCACCCCGACTCCTCCCCAGGCCTCTCTCCCCATGTGCCCTCCCCCTCCAGCCTCCAGCCCCCAGCCCCCGCAGCCCTCCCGGTACCAGACGGAGCCGTAGGCCCCCCGAGCCCACGGGGCTTAGGCTCTGGAAGCGCTCGGGGACCTCCCACAGCGTCTTGTTAAGCTCCTGTCTGTAGAAGCCACCGCGAGGGGCCGACATGGCTCGGGCCTGGGGGGCCGAGCTGGCCTCTGTCGGGCCCCGCTCTGGCCCCAGCCCCGGCCCCGGATCGGGCTGCGATCCCTCCAGCAGCCTGGATGCCTGGCTCCGCCCGCCCGGCCGGGTCCGGCAGGCAGAGCTCAGAAGCTGCCCGGGGGCCCCAGGGGCGGGGCGGGGCGGGGGTGGGGGCGGGGCATGGAGAGAGGGAAGGGGCTCCAGCCTCCGCGACCCCGCCCTCAATGCCTGGGGGGCGGAGTCACTGCTGCAGTTTGAGAGAATCCCCAGAAACGTGACACCGCCCCACCAAAGGCTCAGGACACTCCCACCCTGCCCCCTTCCTCCCTCCCCGCCTCCTGGGCCCTCCCCACCCTCCAACTCCTCCTCTCGGTCCACTTCCCGGTACCCTCCCTTCCCTCTGCCTCCACCCTGCATCATTCCTCATCCTCAGCTCTCAGCCCCGCTCCTGGACCATGGCAACGGGCCCCTGCGCTGATTCCCGACCTGCCTCCGCCCAGCCGCAAAGTCGCGTCCCTCCTACAGCTCTGGTCTGACCGTGTGGCTCAGGAATCTCCGATGGCTCCCTGGTGCGTGAGGAAGAAAGTCCAAGCGCCTGAGCCTGACGATTGGTTCTAGTCTAGCTGGTCCACTGGGGGCTCCCTGGAGCCTGCGGTATTCCATCCCCTGCTCTCCCGATCCCGGAGCTTCGGATGTACTTCCTTCTGCCCGCACGGGCCCCGTCTTTCTTGCCAGCTCTGCCCAGCGCCCCGTGGGTGGTCTTACTCCCCTCTCCCCGCCCCCCTGCCTTGGTTACATCTCAGCCCCGGGCTGGACTGAGGCTCCTTGAGGGCAGAGCCTGTATCCCCAGGGCCTGGCACCGGGGCCTGCAAATCAAGTTCACAAGCATTTATTAAATGCCTACTATGTGCCAGGCACACTGTGTGTACAAAGAGAGAAAAAACAACTCTTGCCCTCAAGTGCCTCGAATTCTAATGGGGAAGACGACGTGCAAGCAACCGTCCACGCAAGAGCTCTACAGAGCAAAGTAAAAGGCTTCAACTGCGTTGGAGTTAAGGACTGGCGCAGTGGGAGGAGCACTGGACTGGGAATCGGAAAGCCTGCTTCAGAAGCTGGGGTCCACCGTCTAATAATCTGTGAGACCTTGAGTAAGTCCCCGCCTTCCTGGGACTCAATTTCCTCCTCTGTAAAATGAAGCGTTTGGATCTTTTGGCCATGAAAGTGCCTTCCAGCTCTAAACCTTTGGCTCTGTGTGTGCTTGGAGATTCATTCATTCATTCAATAAACATTTATTAAGTATTACATAAGCATCTGAGGCAGGATTTGAATTTGGGTCTTCCTGACTTCTGGCCCAGTACTCTCTTTACTGAACCAACCACCTACCTCTGAGTTGTCTAGACAGAAACACCCCCTTTAACAATTTGAGAGTTCATCAGTCTGAGGCACAGTCATGGGAGTAGAGTCCCCCCACTGATACTGAAATCACTTGAAGGGGGAAGAAAACTTGAGGAAGGGACCCTTGGCCACAAAGAAGAGACAGCTCTGGAATGAAGAGACAGTCATCACTGTCAACTGAGGGATAGTGTGGAGAAGAACAAAAGCTGGGAACCCAGTGGAGCAACCCACCAAACAGAGATGCTACACCCAAAGGGAAGCTGTGTGAGATTCCTAGGAAGAGAGAAAAAACTGCCAAGCCCCACATTACCAGGAGTTGTAAGTTATCTTGGCTATTATACACATTCCATACCTGTGTGGCCCACTAACGTTGTACCCTGATTTTGTACTCACTCATTTGTGCTGTATGTATTTGTGGGAGAAGGCATTCCAAGTTTATTTGGGGGAATGTTTGGTACCTACAAATCCTGGCATGTAGTAAGCACTTAATAAATGCTTGGTGACAACCCTGACTCTCCTTACCATGCCATCATAGTAAATGCCTTTGCTTAAGAATCATTTGTACCTGCTGGCTGACTGTTAGTGGAAAGCACACCATATGGGTACCCAGAAAAAGGACACATGTACAAAAATATTTATAGTGTCTCTTTTTTGTGATAGCTAACAACTAGAAATGAAGGGGATGTGTCCATTAATTGGGGAATTGGGAGATGCTAAACAAATTAAAGCATATGAGTGTAATAAAATACTTCTGTTCCATAAGAAATTATCAAGATGGATTCAGAGAAACCTGGGAAGAGTTGTATGAACTGGTACAGAATGAAGTGAGCAGTACCAGGAGAATAATCTATGCAATAGCAACATGGTAACAACCAAAAAGATGGAAAGGACTCTGATTGAGACAATGACTTGGGGGCAGCTTGGTGGCACAGTGGATGGAGCGAGGGCCCTGAAGTCATTAGGACCTGAGTTCAAATCCAACCTCAGACACTTACTAGCTGTATGACCCTGGGCAACCCCAATTGTCTCCAGAAGGAAGAAAGAGAGAGAGAGAGAGAGAGAGAGAGAGAGAGAGAGAGAGAGAGAGAGAGAGAGAGAGAGAGAGAGAGAGAGAAGGAAAGACAATGATGAAGCATGATTTCAGAAATCCCCTGATGAACCATGCTACCCACCTGACAGGGAGCCAATGGATTTAAGGTGCAGATTGGGATTTTTTTGGGACCTGGCCAATTTGGGAATCTGTTTTGCTTACGTATGCATATTTGTTATAAGGGTTTTGTTTTTCTTTTCTTTTTCAATGAAAGGGGGAAGAAATAAAAATTAATTTTGTTAGTTAAAAAAACCCTTTAATTTAAAAAAGGAATGGGTACCCTCAGGGTTTTCTCTGGGGGAGTTGCCCAGAGCAAGGTGCTACAATTAAATGAGAAGTACAATGAGAGAGGCCCAAAATAAAGGACCTGGGGGGGGGGTGAGATGCTCTTATTGGAAATAAGGAGGAAGGGCAGGCTAGCTGTCCAGTGGATATGGAAGCCAAAGTTTTAGGTTAAAGGCCCTCTATACATGACCTTCCATCGATCTCTGCCCCTACTCTAGGCTACTCTCTGTAAAATATAGAAATGGTCTGGATGATCTCTCCTGTCCCTTCCAGCTCTGATGGCCTAGGAGCCTTTAAACCCCGTATTGGGCAGACTCTGGATGGGTGTGTGTGTGTGTGTGTGTGTGTGTGTGTGTGCCTGTGTGTACAGGACCTGAATATTCTAGCTGCAGTGGAGGGGCTGGGGCTCTAGGGCTGAGGCCCACCCCACTCTACCCATCATCCCTATTTTTGCCCGAGGAAGAGGGGAAGGAGGCTTGAGGTGGCAGCCCTCCTCCCTCTCTGGTGCCCCTTCTCTCTCCTTCATTTGTTTCCCATCCTCCAGCCTTTTCACTTGACCACATTTGAATCTCAAAGGTGAGGTCGGAGCCTTCTGGGGCCTTTTTTTTCTCTAGAGACAAAGAAGCTTCCCCCCTCCCCCACCTTCCTCTCTGTATCCCAGAGCACATGTAGAAATCTACTTTCCCCCTCAGTGCCTACTCCAATCATCTTGGACCTTTGTGTGGGTCTAGGGAGCTGGGATAATAAGGTCAGCCCTTATTGCATGCACAACCCTCCCCCAGCTCCTAGTCAGGGCCACAGCGCATTCAGAGATGGGGGAAGAAGGCCCCAGCAGGTTGGGGGAGGCAATGGAAGGATTGATGGGAAGACTTACAGCATAAGAAGGAGTTACATGGGCTTTGATGGATGGAATCCCCAATCCTTGGGCTGATGGATTCAGGCAAGTATTTTTTTAAAAAGTGATCTCAGAAGGTAGCCAGTTCAACCTCTCCACCCCACCCCCAACTCACCCTAGGAATCTCCCTTGAAGCCTTTCACACTGGGACTCTTCTGACCTCTCTCTGAAAACCTCTGAGGACAGAAAGCTCACTACCTGATATGGCTGGTTGTCGCACTATTGGACAGTTCCAAAAGCTCAGGCAGTCTTCCAGTATAAGCTGAAATTTGTCTTCCTGTAACTCCCCCTCCCCACCTCCTAGAGAGCTATGGAGAGACTGATATTTAAATTCTGCCTTAGTAGCTATCTGGCCATTGATAAGTCACTCCACCTCTCTTTGCCTCAGTTTCCTCATTTGAAAAATGAGGGCAAGAACACTTGTAGTACCTACCTCAGAAGAGAGTCTCCCTTGGTTGGTGGAGGATGATTGTTCTCTGCAAACCTTTAAGTCCTAAATGAACTTAGAATATGCCAGATGCTCTCAGTCTATGTGGAGGGAGTGTTGCATTCCTAGGCCGAACTCCATACCATGGAGAGCTCCTGAGGGCAGTGTCTGGGACTGCTCCTCCTCAGTCTTCCCAGATGAGAAGCTGCTGATTCTCCAACCTTGTTTTGGCCACAGGATCCCCTACTCCACCACTGCCCAGCCCAGTAGGGCTTTTGCTCACTGTAGGTGGCTTGTGTCCTGAGAGGATACAGGAGCAGCCCGGGGCCTTGCCCTCAGAAAACTCACCTTACTTATGACCTCAGTCGTGTAGTTCATGCTGTTATTGTTCAGTTGTTTCAGTCCTGTGTGACTCTTTGGGATCCAATTTGGGGTTTTCTTGGCAGAGATACTGGAGTGGTTGGCCATTTCCTTCTCCAGCTCATTTTATGGATGAGGAATTGAAGCAAACAGAGTAAAGTGACTTGCCCAGGGTCACTCAGCTAGTAAGTGTCTGAGGCCAGATTTGAATTCAGGAAGATTAGTCTTCCTGACTCCAGGCCTGTACACCTGTATTTCATGAATCTAGGTAATCAAATGAATTAGAAAGCTCCTCGGAAAGAGGTTGACCTGAGCTCCCAGGCATCAGACTTGGTAGGAGATGACTCAATGATCAAAAAGAAACAGGTTAGCTAAGAGAAGCTAATTGGTATCACTTGTTCATGTGAAAATCTGTGACTCCAGAGGGATGGGTCTAAATGAGAGCATTTGGCTAAGGAGAAGAGGGAGAAGAGATGCATTATGGGGCAGGAATGAGAGCTGAGCCTTGGTTCAAATCCTTCCTGGCTGTATGAAGTCAGGTGTCAGTGCCCCAGGCGCTATTCCCTAAGCCTGAGATCCTTCACAAGAGCTCCCTAGAGGTACTACTAGTCTAGTCCAGAGCGACCAGGGAGTCGGCTGGGGACCCAGGCAGCCAGGAGATGCTGGGTTCCTGACACAGAAGT